CAGACAGATGCCATCCGCCAGGCCCATCAGTCGGGGGTGCACATCCAGGAGGCCCTGAGGCAGAGGTTCTCTCAAGCACCCCTGTAACTCTCCCCAGGGCCTCCCCAATAAAGGCCTCTGGCTTGCAGCCCTATCCCTTCCCCACCAAAACTCCTCCCTTCACCCCTTCCCTGACCTCTCAATAAAAACACCTATTTGATTTTTAACAAAATGAAGTCTGTATTGATATTACATTAAACAAAAGGGTGCAGGGGGAGAGGCGTTCAACCTGGGGGGGGACAGGGACCTCGTTGGAATAGGTATCAGGTGGGTCCAGGGACTGCAGGAGGGGGAGCTGGAGTGGGGTCACGGATGACAGGGGGAGGGTGCATAGACATCACCGGGGGAGGGAGCAGAAGCATCGCATGGGGGGCAGGTTGAAGGGGAATGGGCATAGCAGGGGGCAAGGAGGGTGGAAGCCAGGAGCAGCAGTATCAGACGGGTGTGCCATCATGCACAACATGATGGCACACATGTTGCCACACTGCTGCATGAGCTGGTCCCATGCGCTGTTCCACCACTCAGCGTCATCACGTATCTTCTGTGCCAGGGTCTGCTGCATGTCGTGCAGGATGCTGACATGCTGGTGCATGAGGTCTTCCTGGACACTGGCGAGTCTTCAGGTCCTCCAGGCTCTGGCGGCTGGCTGCGGTGGTGTGGCTCTCCCCTCAGTCCCAGCTGGTCTGGCTGTGAAGAACACAATGAGGGAGAGATGGTCAGTCATCCATGCAGACACTGTCCCTGAGGCCATGCCCTTCTCTGTGAGCAGCAACCAACAGTCCTCGGCCCAGAAGAGGGGGATGTCCTGGGAGCAAGGCCATGTGTAGCCTGCACAGTGGGCCGTGCCTCATAGGGGCCCCGAGGTGCCCAGGGGACCATACTTCCCACCACCACAACTCCTCCAGCACATGGACCAGCAGGCAAGGCAAGTATCTGCCCACAGTGATACCCCCAATGGGCATCAGAGGAGCTGGGAGCAGCCTGGCCCTCCCTGGTGTCTGTACACACACCTAGGGCTTACAGCACGGTTGGCGGGAGCGGGTGGTGCCTTGCACATGCAGGCATGCCCTCATGCTGTGTGTGGCATTCCTTGGGGTGTCTGGGATTGTCATGGCAGGTACTGGGAGTGTGCCCTCCTCCCCCTACGTGTGGCAGGATGTGTGTGGCCTCCCCTGAGCCTGGCAGCAGGATCCTGCCTGTGATCGGGGCAGCCTGCTGCGTCTGTGTGCCACACTAACACTGCACATGGTTGTACGATGTCCAGCCCAAGCGACACTTGCCCCCCGCCCCGTGTGTGCCTGCCTCCCCTGCCCTGTGTGTGTGACAAAGCGAGAGTACTCACCTGAAGATCCCTCCAAGGCAGCCTGGGAGACGTCCTGGCTGACCAGCAATGGCTCCAAGGACAGCGATGGTCTCCTTCTCCCCCTCTGGCTGGCTCTGGACCTCCTGCTCTTCGTTCACCATGACCCCTGGCCAGGCAACAATGGGGTCTCGAGGCTGGAGTCCATGATGATGGGTTGGGAAGATGTTTCCCCACCCCACCCCAGGATTTGATGTAGCTCCTGATAATAGTGTGCCCTTGAACACTCCTGGGGCTGTTCCCTGAAAGGACCATTAAGGTTGCGGGGGGGCTTGAGACTCTTCCATGGGTGGTATGTCCTGTGGCAGGGAGAGCCATAGGGGCCAGGAAAAAGGAATTAGAGTCCTGATTCCTTTGGACAAAATGTTCACCAGGGCACCTCTGCTATTTTCTGGAGGCCTCTTCTTTTGATAAAAGCCTCTCCTCCCTGTCCACACACATCTTTTTCCAAAAGAGCTCTTTCGGAAAAAGGCTTTTTCCTCATAGAAAGAGGATTACCAATGCTGGAAAACCCCTCCGTTCTTTCAATTTTCTTTCACAAGAACGCGATTGCAGTGTGGATGTAATGCAGGTTTTGTCAGAAAAACAGCCATTTTTCTGAAAAAAAATCTGTAGTGTAGACATACCCTCAGAGGAATTAAAAATGGGGGAGGGGGGAAACAACAGAGCAGGGCAGATTTCCCTTAAGGAGACAGAGCATGGCTTCTCTCAGAAACTTACCCAGCAAACACACCATGACACATACACAGCTGCATACACTCAATCTGTGTCGAAGTCAGAGAGAGAGAGAGAGAGAGAGAGAGAGAGAGAGAGAGAGAGAGAGAGAGTGTGTGTGCGCGCGCGCGTAGCCCTAGCTCCAGCCCCACGCCCTCTATCCGAGGCCTGGAGCAGGCACACAGCCACATATTAAAACTCATGAAGTGCCCCGCCTCTCCCCCCACCCCGCCGTGAAAATTATTGCCCACTCCTTATTTAAGTCCAAATGAATGAGAAAGGAGTTAGTCAGGAGGACTTGGGGCAAGAGATCTGATGAAGAGCTCTATTTAAACTAGTCATGTGGCACCTTATAGACTAACTGAAGTCTAGGAGCATAAGCTTTCGTGGGCAAAGACCCACTGCTCCAACACTTCAGTTAGTCTATAAGGTGCCACAGGACTCCTCGCCGCTTTTGCAGATTCAGACTAACACGGCTACCCCTCTGATATTTAAACTAGGTGAAGCTTCAGCTGACAGTTAAACATACATGAGGAGATGTCCAAGAGACGTTAAGATTGGTTGGACAGAAGGAGGCACATCTGGGACAGAGGCAGATCTGAGAGAAAAAAAGTATAGCAGGAGAAATGATGGTGAACAAGGACAAAGCCCTGTAGGACAAAACAGAAAACTGGGGGCAGTGATGAGGAGGATTCTCCAAAGGATATGCGGATGCAGCAAACAGAGAAGGAGAGCAGTCACAGAAGCCCAGGAAAGATAAGTTTTCAAGAAGAACTTTTTGGCCAATGGTGTTAAAAGCAGCTGACAACTCAAGGACACATATTAGTTCAGACCTTTGGCTAGAAAGAGGACAATTGAGATACTGGCAAGAATGGAGCGCAAGGGTCAAAAAGTGGACTGGAGAAGAATTCCATAGACTGTAAGCAGCACTTTCAAAAGTTCAGAGATTGAAGGATGAAGGGAAAGGGGGCAGTACTTGGAGCCACACAGTTCAATTTAAATTCTGACAGCTGCCTGCTCACGTGGCAGCTGCCAGTGGAATGCTCAAGAGCTGGTGGCATGTGAGGAAGGCCTTACCCCCCCCGGCCTGTGCTGCATGTAGTCGGCAGGGGCCAAAGCCTGAAGGTGGGGGGGTGGGCTTAACCCCTGGCCTGTGCAGCAGGGAGCCAGTAGCACGGGGAAGGGGGAGCAGGAGGAGGCCATGCAGCTGTGGGCAGAGGGAGGGGCTGCGGGACGCAGAGTGACGCACGACGTCACACACATCCTCCAGGAAAAACCTTTTTAAAGCATAGTAAATTAATTGCCAATGTATATATTGTCCACATATAAAAGGACCACCACCCTTTTACAACTGTATTTTAACCACAACTGTTTATAAAAACACGGGAGCACATAAATTCACAAATTTATTTAAAATTACGGATTCGATTTCATTACCGAAGAGTTTCAGAGGGGTAGCCATGTTAGTCTGTAACTTTAAAAACAATGAGCAGTCCCTGTCGCACCTTAGGGCACATCTACACTACAGAGAAGATCAAAGCTGTTGCAGTCAATCTTCCAGGGTTCAAATATGCAGGTCTAGTTAAGACATCTTATTCAAACTGAGAGGGGCACTTCTGTTGATGCCAGTAGCCCTGCTTCCACGAAGTGTAAGGGAAGTCGAAAGGGAGAGTGTTCTCACTTTGACTTCCTGTAGTGTGGACAGCGCCAAAAGTCAAGTTAAGCTACATTAATTGCATAGCTGAAATCGATATACCTGAAGTTGTGTATCTTAATTTGACCTTATCCTGTAGTGTAGTCATACCCTTAAAGACTAACAAAAATATGTATGTAGCATCATGAGCTTTCATGGGCAAAGCCCCCTTCCTCAGAAGGCATCGCCTTCTAGTAACAATAAAAAGATTAATGAGCATCTGAGGAAATAGCTTTTGCTCACTAAAGCTCCCTCTCAATAGAGAGAGACAGAGACAGAGAGGTAATTTATCTAGGAAAAGTTATTAAGCCCCTAATCAAAATGTTCACTTACAAAAGACTCTCATCACTCAGCCAAAACAGAAAACAAGGTTTTTTAAAAACTATTTGAAAGTGAAATCTACAAGTGCATGCACGTAGAACAACAATCTCAAAACAGACACTTTATTCTAGCTATTACAGCCATTTGCTAGCTGAACATTTAAATCAGAGTCCAGATGCATCAATGATTATGCAGACTATTATTGTTTCTAATCTTTCTGTTCAGATTTCCTCACAGACCCCCTTTAGAAGGTGAAAAGTAACATCTTTCTCTATCATCCAGCAGCACTGTTCATCTCTAAATTCTACTTTGACTTGACCTTAAGTTTTACAATAAAGCAGTTGGTTTGTCTCACCTAAAGCAGACTTACGATGTATTTTGTTTAAAAAAAAAAAAGTATTTGTTAGTAGCCGAGTCATAACACAAAAGCTTACCTATAGATATTTTAGAAAATGAAGCCTATTATGACAAGTATATCTATATTAAGGTCTGGGTTTTTTTGGGGGGGGGGGATGAGTGGGGGATATGACTTTATTTAACTGATGACTCACCAGTTGTAACCGGGTATAGTGTAAACATGTATTGCACTCATTTCCAGCTTTGTCAAGATCTCCTTTTTTCAAAATGATGCAGCATCATATCCAGGTTTATGTATGTATGATACTCACCTTCCTCTGACTTTGCTGCCAATGGAGGGTTGTTTACAAGTTCCTCTGTATTTCCTTCTCCTCCCCCACGGGATCTTGAATTCCAGACTTTAATCACTTCAACATCATTATCACTTCCACTTCCGCTTGAGCTACTATCTTTCTTCACTTTTTTCCCCTTGGATTTTTTTTTCCTAGAAACATAACATAACGTATGTTCACTATTTAAAAATCTGCTGGTGAGAGACCCAACAGTTGTAACAAAAACAAAAACACAATACCACCCCAAATATTGCTTAAATTTTTGTAACCTTAATAACAATAAATCTAACAGAATTTAAGTTATTCATATATTTTTCACGCAGAAAAGCTTAATTTACTTAGCATAATCATCAGAGCTTAAACTCATTGAAGTTTCATCTGAATCTGAAGCTATGAACTCATCCAAACTGTCTTCATCAAAGTAGCCCTGAAAAACAAAAATACATATTTAAGTACTATCATCTAGCCTAATGCCTCTATTGAACAATTAATCTGCCTATTCCTCATTAAAACAAATGAAGAGTTCAGTGAAAGAGCAACATTTCAAAATGTTCCAATAATGAAAAAATTTCAAGAAAAACAAAATACTGGTCATAAGTGAAACAGAGAACAAAAATCACTGTACCCCAAAGTGAAAGAAATTTCCATTAATTCACAAATACTCTAACCTATCATTTGTCACATCTTATTTGGAAAGTTTTCCATGGAGCCAGAAGTATGTATTTTGATGCATCATTTACCTTATTTTCTTTACTAATATAGTCCAGCTGTAAACACCAAGGGTGAGTCCAGATTCTGCTTAACATCTGGAAGTCCTGGAAGAGCTTAGCTCCGGCTTTGCCTCTTCCACCTTCACTGCTACAACCTACACCTGACAATAAAGTTCAGATTATAGAATGAAAGCTTGAAAAAAGTTTGTTTTCCCCTATGAACACCACATTTGTTTAGTATAGTGTGTTCTCTCCATGTGCACATCTCAGTGTAATTTCTTTTTTGCAGAGGTAAATCACTAGGCCCTGGTCTAGACTAAGCAGTTATTTCGAAACAACAAGTGGAGCATCCACACAACCAAGCCTGTTATTTAAAAATAGTTATTTCAAAATAGCGGTAGTGTGGACACTCCACTGCTGCTATTTAGAAATAACTACACCACAGAGTCATTCAAAGTAATTGCTCCCCAATACTTCCTGAGGCTCTAAGTCGAAACAGAACATCCATATTAAGAGAGCTTGCCATGGACTAATTTTGAGGCTTCCCTATAGTGTGGGCACATTATTTCTAAAGAGTTATTTTGGAAGTTATTATTTCAAAATAAATTATTTGAAATAATTTCCTACTGTAGACATGCCCGTCGCTACAGGATTTTTTTCAAATTAAACTGATCAAAATTAGATTCCCATCTCTTTCTTGAAAATGAGTTACATGATAGCATTTTTTACAAAGGAGCTCATTCTCTCCTCAATGGGAGTTCATATAAATCCCAGTGAAAGGGCACTTACATCTCCAAGTCTGTAAAAGCAATTTTTTATAAAACCTAAGATCAGTATAAATATTATGTTTTGAAGTTTCAATTAATTCAAATCAGTTTAATGTAAGTATTTCCTTGCACATTTTGTAATTTTTGTTATAACTAGAAGGTTTAAGTACCTGGTCTATTTTCATTGACCAACCTGAATTTGTTGCAAAAAGTGAACAGCATTTGTGGTTAACGACTGGAAAAAAAAAAAAAACCCTTATTTTTAATAGCCTAAAGCAAGGGTGCCCAACCTATGGCCCACCAAAGCATTTCCTAAAGGCCTGACGCCTGTTTCAACAAAATATACTAATAGACAACTCATTAGCATTAATCAGGTTTACATGAGTTTATTGTTTTTTGCCTGTTTTCTATAGTGCACATTATATGCACTGATGCACATTTTATGCACCATCTTTCTCTGTATTTAAACAGGTTGTTTCTATGTACAGTATTGTCTATTTAGATATACAGAACAGAATCTGTTGGCTCATGCAACGTTGCTCCTAGGTTCATGTGGCCCTCCTGCATAATAAGGTTAGATCTAAAGCAGCGTTTCTCAAACTGGGTCCATGGACCCCACTAAATAACTCCTCCCCATCTCCCTCTCCCTCCCAACACCTCCCACTAGGGTTCCCTGAGGATGCAACACTGGTAGGGAGGAGGAGGAACAGGGACTTTGGCTCTCTGCTCCAGCCCAGAGCCTGGATCTCCTCTGACACAAACTACTTTCCAGAGCCTGCACACCCCCCTCCTGTACCCCAAGCCCCTACCCAAGCTTGGTCAAAATGAGTGAAGGAGTAAGAGCGAGCGAGCGAAAGGGGATGGGTCATCAGCGAAGGAGGCAAGATAAGGGCTGAGGAGTTGGGGAGGAGGGCCCCCTAAAAATCAGAATGGGGATCATTGGTTTGCTAAAGGTTTGAGAACCACTTGCCTAAATGGATGTCAAAGAAACACTGTTAACTTGAAGTTCTTGAGAATAATTTTGTATTTATCTGTATAGTGAGGCCCGTTTTAAACAAAATAATTGGAAAAACCATACATTTTCTGAATTGCAAAAATAAATGCCTGTGGGTGAGCTAGACTCTAAAGCTTATTCAAGATTCAATCAACAGGCTATAGAAGAATGTAATAAAATGAAGGCATAATGGAAAGTATGATAGCAAGCTGCCTTTTGCCACACTACCAAGAATTATACTTCAGTTATTTCAATGTAATAATTATTCTTTTATGTTCCAAATTAAATAAAAAAAATAAAGCTATGATAGATGGGATAGTTCTCATGGAAAGAGTTGCTACAAAAGTGCTCAGACCAGATGGACTAACTCCAAGTTATAGAAACAGAAAAGAGCACCACCTCTAAAATCTATCAAGCAATTAACAAAAATTACTACATTACCATATTAATGAAAATTAGAAAACATTTTTATTATCTGGAATAAAACCTAACTTTCAGATTGCATATTTTAGTGGCAACTTGTGCCACCATTTGAAAGTACTTCAATAAAACAATTAGCTTATTACTTTTATTTGTATTTGCAGGCAAAAAGATCCCACTAGTAGGATTCAGTTTTCAGATATTTAACTAATACAAATAAAAATTTACTTAGTTGGAAATGCTGGAATACCAAGCAAACACAGAGTGGCACTTAACATAGGTATCAGTCAAATGAGTCAGAACAGCGGTGAGGAGCATGTATCTCACTGGGGTTCCATCGGCAGCCCATGGACCCCCTATCTGCCCCCCAACCTCCACATCCCTCTCGCACAATTGGGCACTGGAGCCCTCCCAACACTTCCAGAGTGCCACAAAACGCCTGATTCCCACTCCCTCCAAGAGCTGGAATGCAAATCAGATGTTTGTAGCTGTTCAAGCTCTGGGAGGGAAAGGGAAGAGTTGGGACAGAGTGAGAATTAGGCAATTCATGGTGCTCCTAAGCGCTGGGAGGGAGGAGGAGCAGCAGTTAAGTGCAGGGGTGGGGTGAGAATCAGATAGGGGGTCTACGGGCCATATGCAGCTCACTGAGACAAAGGAGGGCCACTCGTGCATCCCACTCACTAATCTTGGGTGCCCACCACTGGCTTAGAAGGTAGCAATATAGCTGAATATTAACAAGGAAGACTCAAGATCTAGAAAGAGTTGTGACACTATCAGCCCTTAAATGTGCTGGAAAGATGTAGTCCCTATTTAAAAAAACCAAAAACTCTAAAGATTTGTCATAAACATGGTACATCCCTAAGGCATGATTAAATGCTCACTGAAATACATAGGAACCTTTCTATTGACCTCAATGGGCACTGGATCAGGCTGTTTGCTTACTATCAGCTACAAGGTAAAAGGTGTGCAAATAATTGCTGTACAGTAAACAAATAAGGAATTCTTCAGTGGCAGTACAGAATGAGAAGATTCTAATGGATTAGTCATACTGGGTTATTTTTTTCTGTCAGTCTGTGCCCCATTAGATACATATTAGGGATGAAAAAGGTTGACCGGTTAGCATTAGGCTTACTGGCATGCTGACCCAGTAATCAGTTAACCAGCCCTGCTCAAACCTGGCAGCAGGCTGCACCCAGCCAGCAGAACCCTGGCTACAGTAAGCTGGAGCAGCCCCAGCCAGGCTGCAGCAGCCCCCAGTAGGCTGGACAGCGGGACCCCAGCCACAGGCAGCCCCTACCTGAAGCATCTTCCGCCACACCTGGCAGGCAGGATCTCTGCCTCACAGAGGCCCCCGATGCTCTGCACCAGCCCTCTAATGGTTAACTGGTTAAACTATTTAATTTTATTCATTAAACTAGTTAGCTGTTTTATCAGGTATTTACATCCCTAATACATATTGTAAGGATATATTTTTTTGTAACTTGGTAGGTTAAAACACAGTTTATACCAGGAAACCTGAACATTTCCAAACAAACAAACAAACAAACAATGTATAAGAAGCCAGCAAAAGTTTTGAAGAACTCGAAAAACTACTTCTATTGCTCTGAGAGAAAATACTTGTTATGGGGAAGAAAATACTTGTTATGGGGAAGCAGCATGTTTTACCTACTGAGCTGCTTTGATAAAAAAAGCTGACTTATTTTTAAGCTCACTACTAACTTTAAGAGGAGAGGCATCTGGAACGTTGCAGTAAAACAGAATACACATATATTTTCCTTCACTGAATTTATATAGGTGAAACACAATATAAAACAGACTAAGTTATAGGCTTGGTTTGTGATAAGCTCTACAAGACTACTAAAACAAGACTATTAAAAACTCCGGTCATCTGAAGAAGTGGGCTATGCCCACGAAAGCTCATGATACCATCTACATGTTTTATTAGTCTATAAAGTGCTACTGGGCCTTTTTTTTTTTTTTTTAATTAAAACACCGTGTGTGTTCTGCTTTCAAACACACTCATGTAGATTTTTTTTTAAATTAAGTTTTTACTGCTTATTCAAAAAAACTAAAAAAAGAGCTTTTGGGTTTTATACCTGCAATTTTTATAAATGAAATGACCAACACCGGTCCATGATGACTATTTAAATTAGCATTTAAACTGAAGAAAACAGCCCACAAAGTCTGAAAAAAACTCTAGCTAACACACCAAAATACTACACCCAACTATAATCGAAGCAAGTAAGACTAAACTGAGAATATCTTAGCCAAGTTCAACATCTGCTGTAAATTACAATTAGATACAAAATAAAATTACATTTATTTAATCCTTTTCTTAAATTAAACTTGGAAGGGTAAATGCAATAACAAAACATCATGGGCAGTCACCGCAGCAGTAATGTACAATCAATTTAAACCGTTCAACATTCTTTAGCCTATTTAATGTTAAAAAGATTAAATTAATACATTTGCATAATGGACTAAGTAGCAGTTCTCAGAAAAATGTACGCTAGATTATTCATTAGATAAAAATATGACTGCATCATAATCATCATGACTCCATATATTCTGCAACTACAGAATTTAACAAAAAGAATATTTCATTAACATGAAGTAGTGTTGCTACAGAGTTTAGGAGCTGTTGCTGTACAACTTCAGAGCTGCTGCGGTCGAATTTTGTCCAGCCGGGCCATGCAGAACACATAAGGCCTTGGCTATCTACTTCAATTCCCACTATTGATGGTAAATACAACACTATCACTTTAAAAGTGCTGCTGACATTCAGGTCTTGCAAGATGCTGAACTACAACTACCAAGAAAACCATCAATGTTTTAGAGTCAAATGCACAGCAGTTCATCTCTCTTGAACATGCTTTTGCTCAAGATGTAAGATTTTTCAATTCAATAAGTTTATGTATGGCCTCACATCTTCTAAAATACTAAGAAAGTTAAAAATTACAAGGGCAGACTGGTCCTAAGACATCAGTGAAATCTGATGACAAACTAAAGTTTTTTCACACCAGAGCAGTGGGATGTGGAATGAGACAGAAAAGACAACTGCGTATCATGTGTTCAAAACATGAAATAAACAAGTATTGCTCTGGGAACAAAGGTACAATGCAAGATTCTGAAATACACTTGTGTCACTGCACCTCAATTCTGAGTTTCTCTTGTGCCAACCTTTGTGGTAACTGCTACAATGTAGGGGACAAATTAGGTCTCAGATGAGATAAACTAATTTTCTCTAGAAACAAATTGAGGTTTCCAGATTTAAGGACTTATTTAATAATCCAAAGTCTCCTTGAAAGAATGTTTTTGCTTAAAGAGTACCAGCTATTAAATGACATAATGAATGAATTACTTAAAGTTATATTTTTGGGAAAGAAAAGAAAGGAAAGGAATAAAGAATCACAAACAAGAACTATAAGTATTCGTATTCTTCAATAAATATTTAGTTATATGTAACCCAGTCTTTAGCAAGTTCAAGTTTAAGTGCCAAAGTGAACTCCTATAGCAAACCAAAGGGACCACTTGTAGCGTGTTATGAATACATGGGAAAAAACCTGATTAAATGATGACTAATCACATTACCCAACAATATTTGAGTTACCTACCCGTCAAGTGATCCAGGTAGTACTGATAGAGTTTACACTGAATAGGTGTCATTCTAACTGCTAGAACATATTCATATTTTGGTGGCAGGAACTTTGTTAATGCTGTATAATCTTTCCTCTGTAATTTTACAAAAGGACGTTAGTCAAACAGATAAGCATGTATAAAGCAAGTGGATTATCAGTTTAAAAAATGTTTGTACTGTTACACCTTAAAAGACAAAATGTACCATCCCTAGGATGTTTTCCCACTATAAAGGAAAATATATAAATACAGACTGAAAGCCATCTAAACCAGCCCATCTGCACAAGACCATTTTATCTAGTATATCTGGTTACACACTATATTTTTCACTCGCACGCACACACGCACACAAAATTTAGGGTTCTGCTTGTCAAATGCAATTTCAACAGCTGTTTCCAGTGACTGCTTCTCTTCAGCATAGTTATCCTTGTTAAAATCTGGATAAATGAATCCCAAATCACAGTGTTTGTATTAAGGACACAGATTGTGACTCCAGAGGGAAGCAACTAATGAACGGAGGGGGGTTGTGTTATTCATGATTTTTTAATTGATTTTTGATTGTTGATGCTATTTCTAATCCTTTTCCTCATTCACTTTCCTTGAATTACTGCTTCTCTCTATCTGCCTCCTCAGAATGATGGATGTTGACAGTTTGGGTGCTGACCACTGACCAGGCATGGGACATCTAATAATGCTTAAATGTTAAATTATTTGAGTATTAAGATTTTCATAGTTGCTCTCTTCCTTCTTTCTGATATCTTCATCTGCTTCCTCTTTTTTCATCTCTTTTGATTCTCTCAAATGGAAACAGTTCTAAGACATTTCTCTATGGACCAACACCTTACTATCCAGTTTTAGGAATCAGTAAAAGGCAAGCTGGTTTTTAAGTTTAAATTCAGATTATTTTTTAACTGAAGAACGGATATCCTACCCTATAATATAAATTACTTGTCCAGTAAGTCAGGAAAGAGAATTACTCACCTTGTGCAGTAACGGTGGTTCTTCGAGATGTGTGTCTCTGTGGGTGCTGGTGTGTCCTCACGATGGCGATCGGATATTTTTCTAGCAGTGTCCACCATGCCGCACACACACTGTGACACCCCTTTGTGCTGTTAAGTGTTTGTTAGACACGTGCGCAGCCTCTCCGTTGTTTCTCTACCTGTGCTAGTACAGCATGGGGCTCCAAAGCAGGGGAAGGATAGAGCGTAGTGGAGCACCCACATCTCGAAGAACCACCATTACTGCACAATGTGAGTATCTCTCTCTTCTTCGAGTAGTAGTATCCCTGTGGGTGCTCCACTCTGAGTGACTATAAAACAGTAGTCAGATCTTGGAGGCTGGTTTGGAGCCCTGTTGTCATCACCAAGGATAATACAGCCATAGAGGATGCGATGGAGGATGCCAGAGTGTAATGTTGTGCGAACGTGTGCTCTGATGACCAAGTGGTTGCGTTGCAAATGTCCTGGAAAGGTACATTCTTGAGGAAGGCAGTTGTAGAAGACATGGCCCTGGTAGAACGGGCAGTGATTGTGCTAGGTGATTCTTTGTTATGGATGGTGTAACATATGTGGATGCATGAAGAGATCAACTTGAAGATCCTCTGAGAAGAGACAGCCTGTACTTTGGATCGTTCCCCGAAGCATAGGAAGAGTCTAGGAGATATTCACCAGGCTCTTGTATGATCAATGTACAACGCAAGAGCTCTACAGATGTCGAGGGTGTGCCATGCCATGTGTGATGGATTAGTGTGTGGCTTGGGGAAAAACGCAGGTCAGTGTAGCGGTTCATTGACGTGGAAGAAAGAGAATTTTTGGGAGGAATTTAGGATGAGGCCGAAGTGTCATTCTGTCTTCGCTGAAAATTGTAGTGGAGGGGAACGGAGGTCCACCATTAGGGCTGCAATTTCACCTACTCTCCTGCTGGAGGTTATTGCGATTAGAAAATTGACGTTCATAGATCAGTATGTCCAAGGGCAGGTCGCCAAGGGCTCAAAGGGCAGCTTTGTCAGGCTCTTAAGTACATGCTTCAGGTCCCAGATAAGAAGTGGTGGGTGAACACATGGAAAGGTGTTTTGTAGACCAGTGAGGAATCTTTTGGTGACTGGGTTCAAGAGGAAAGAATCACCTTCAGTGGTGCAATGGGAGGCTGCAATAGCAGCTGCGTGAACCTTGATAGTACTTATACCTTAAGGAGTCGGGTCTGGCTCTAAGAGGTAGTCCAATAGGAGTGGGAGGGGGAGGGGCGGTTTCAAGGGGCATAGTGAGAGTAGAATAACGGTGTGTCCCATTTGATGGAGAAAGCATCCCCAAGGGAGTGCTTCCTTAAGACAGCTCTGGAGCAGTAAAGATGGCATTTGCAATTGTTCCTGGTCGCAAAGAGGTCTGTATCTGGCTGACCCCGTTGACGGAACACGTAATTGAGGGCTTGCGTGTCTACCTCCCATTCATGTTGGTCATAGAACTTGCAGCTGAGGGCATCTACTATAACATTTAGCACCCCTAAGAGGTAAGTGGCAATAGGGATAATCTGGTGCACAAGGCACCAGTCCCATAATTTGAGAGCTTCCAAACAAAGGGACGGGTATCATGCACTGCCTTGCCGATTGATATAATACATACAAGTGGTGTTGTCTGTCATAATGTTGATAGTCTTGCGTGCTATGTGATTTAAGAAATGCTGACATGGGTACTGCACCGCTCACAGTTCTAAAAGGTTGAAATGGAGCGTTTGCTCTGTAAAGGACCATTTGCCTTGGGCCGTGAGGGTTCCTAGATAGGCACCCCATCCCATGAGTGATGCATCGGTCATCATGGTAAGTATAGAGTTCAGTTGATGGAATGGAACTCCAGTTAAGATGTTGTGTGGATTTGTCCACTAGTGCAAGGAATTGAGGACCCGTGGCAGAATGATAACTGACTTGAAGAGCATGTCTCGGGACAGGGTGTAAAGTATGGCAAGCCACGACTGAAGGCATCTCATGTGGAGCCTTGCCAGCTTGACGACGTAGGTTGTGGAGACCATATGGGTCCAAGATTTTTAGGCATTTGCTAACTGTTGTGGTAGGGGTCACCAATGCTAATGCTATGAGGTTGCATAGGGCATCAAATCTGTGCATGGGAAGAGTCGCTTTGGCTTTGACAGTATCAATATGTGCTCCTATAAACTCCTATGTCTGAGTGGGATCGAGTGTGGATTTCTCGTAGTTGATATGGAAGCCCAGGCAGAGCAGGAGGCTTGTGGTAGTCTTGATCGTGTCCCATGTCTCTTGAAAAGATGTGTCTTTTATAAGACAGCAGTCTAAGAATGGAAATATGACTTCCTGACAATGTAGGCATGCCACTACGACTGCTAGAGTTTTGGAAAACACTCTGGGAGCCACTGAAAGGCCAAAAGGGAGCACTCAGTATTGGTAATGGTGACGGTCAACCCATGAACTGCAGAAAATACCAGTGGGCAAGATGGATTGTTATGTGGAAATATGCATCTTGAAGGTCGAGAGCCGAAAGCCAATCCCCTTGATCCAATGCTGGAATTATTGTTGCTAGGATCACCATCTTGAAATGTTGGTAAGCGATGTGTTTGCTGAGCTTCCTTAGATCCAGAATGAGCCTCCATCCTCCGTTCTTTTTCTGTGTTAGAAAATAAGTTGAGTAGAACCCTCAGCCATGGAACTCTGTTGGTACCAGTCCTATGGCACCTAATTGGAGGAGGTGAAGCACCTCTTCCTCAAGGAGAGTCTCATGAGAGGGGTCCCTGAAGAGAGATGGAATGGGAGGATGGATAGGACGACGAGAAATGGAAGTGATGGAGTAACCATGGTGGATGAGCTCTAGGACCCACTTGTCCGATGTTATTTGAGCCCACTGTTGAAAAAAGGGGCAGGGCCAGTGTTTGAATTGTGGATAATTGGGTGATTGTGTGACCACAAGGAAAGTATCTTTTTGGCTCCTGACCAAACCTTCAGATTTGCTGTTTGGATGCGGAAGGTTGGGCTGCTGCTGTTTGATGTTGTTGCTGGCATTAAGGCCTATGTCATTGGGGCCGTCATTTCTGTTGGAAGTCATACCTCGGTTGCTGTCTGTATTGCTCCTTGGGTCTCTGGTAGTTGGTTATCTGGCACTCTTAAATGGGGGCTTGTATACCCCCAGGGTCCTTAGGGTGGTACGGGAGTCCTTCATCGAATGAAGTACTTAATCGGTTTTTGCAGCAAAGTGATTAGTTTTATCCAAGGGTAGGTCTTCGACTTTCTGCTGCAAATCTCTCAGAACCCAATGCTTGGAGACAGGATATTCTCCAGACCACAATAGCTAAGGTTGTGACGCGTGCAGCTGTGTCTGCTACATCCATTGCGGACTGTAGTGTGGTGCAAGAAATTGTATGGCCCTCCTGCATAATGATGAAGAGGATAGGCCTCTTGTATTCACATAAGTAAATGTATAAGCTCTTGAAGCTTAAAGTAATTAGAATAGTTATAATCCACTAGCATGGCAGTATAATTCACTGCTCTAAGGAGCAGGGTGGCCGAGGAGTATGCTTTATGACCCATAATGTTATTTTTTTTGTGGCCCTTGTCCTTTGGTGTTGATCTAATATTGGGTTGTCTGGCTCTGTCTAACAGAATAGAGACTACCAGGTTGGTGGAGGGTGAATGGTATTTTCAGTCCACTCTTTTTTTGGTTGAAGTTGTGGATGCTGGGGTCTGCCAAATGTTGTCTGCTGGGTCCATAATAGCCTCGTCCATAGGGAGGGAGATCCTGGAGAAGGTAGGAGGTTGCAAGATTTGCACGAGGTGATGCTGTTTTTCCTAAACTTCCTGTAAACCTTGCTCTTGTGTTAATGCTACCCTTTTAAAAAGTTCTTGGAACCTTCGAGTCGTTGGTGGCATGGTGGTAGATATAAGCACCTCGTCTGGTGAGGATGAAGAATTATAAACAGGGGACCTGTCTTCACCCTTGGACAAAGAGTCCTCCATCTCAGTCTGGATTGGAGAATTAGGCGCTGTTATAGATGTCATGGATTGGGGAGAACGAGGTGGTTCGCTGGATGCTGTAGAAGGTGCAGTATAATGGCTCTTCCTATGAAGACGTGACTCCCATGATTGCCACTGCCCTGGGTAAGGGGGTGGCGGATATGTGAAATGATGCGCACACCAGGGTGGTAGATATGCGTATGTAATAAGCCCAGTGTCCTAGGATGGAGCTCTCTGTGTTGAGCTGGAATGTTGGGAAGAAAAACAGCTGCGTGGCTCCATGACAGCTTCGCTTGGGGAGTGAGACAAGATCAGTGATCTGCGTGAATGCACTGATTTTGTGGAGGAACCTGGAGATAACAGTGCCAGTGAAGGACGGCTCCTGTTAGGAGACTCATGTCGTAGATGTTCCTGGGATGGTATTGGGGTACGTGTGTTACTCAGTGTTGTTGGTGGTTGTTATAGGGTTGGGTAGAAGGGTCTTAGAACTTGGAAATGTGAGGAAACTGAAGAGAAATAATTAGGTTTTTTGTTGTTTTTCTATAGAAACAGCAGAAAGGAGAGAAGCTCTGTCTGCTGCCAAGGATGGTAGAGAAGGAACTGAGGGGCTGCGCTGCGCACACACCTAGCAGACACTAACGGCATGAGAGGGTGCCACAGCGCGGGCACAGCACGGTGGACACAGCTAGAAAAATCTCCGGTCACTGGCACAAGGACTCACCAGCACCCAGAGTGGAGCATGCACGGGGACACTAAATGAAGAAGAAATAGCTAATTGTCCAAGTTTCACATTTCCTGCCTAAGATACATTGACAGTGCTTGTAAAGATTGTGAAGTATTACAATATTTTCTATTTATATGGGATTTCTGAATTATTCACAATTTAAACTAATTATGAAAACTATACATTGAGCAAAATGATAACGAGATTACAGGACTAAGTATGTAGCAAGAGTAGATACAAATTTAGCGGTCCCAGACCTTAACATTTTTTTTAATTCAAAGGCAAGTATTTTACTATAATATTAAGTTACTTAAGTTAACATGGTGATAAAGTATTTACGTACCTGAACACATCCAGCTAACATCTCATACAGTATGTGAGCACGCTTCTTCATTACTCTAACATCTACCATAGTAGAGTCTGCGCACTGTCCATTCTGGATGGGATTTATAAACCGATTTCTGAATTCCTTAATTGATCCAAGCAAATTTTCCTTGATAAAATTAACCATGCAGTGATCTGAAAGAGAAAAAAAATCAACTCCAATTCTTTAAAATTAAAATTATGGCAGTCAGTAGAGGCACGTATTTAGGGATGTTAGCGAGTTCTCAACTGGCTGCCACAAACAGGGGCTGCTGCATTCAGTGCAAGTCAGAACCAAGGAGTCCTGGCTCTTGCTGGTCCAGGACGCTGCACCTCTGCATTTTTAATGTAGGAAGAGCCCAGCAGCACTTACTGTATTTAAAATTTAACATCACAGCACAGGTGGCTCCTGGAGCCAGAACAAGCTAGGACTGCTCAGTCTCAGCTCAAGCTGGCTCCTGGAGCAATCCCCGCTTCAAATCTGCAGAGCGGTCCTTATTGACTAATGGTGTAATCGATACAAACTGTATCAACTACAGGATTAGCCAGATAACCTCAATTTAACATCCTTACATTCATTACCAGATGAGTTCATTCTAAATTAACTAGACTTCTAAGAGTAACTTTGTATCAGAATTCTAGAGGAGTTTACGTAGCTAAAACATCTCTCATATGTTTATCCAAAAGGCAAACTAAAAAGTAATGAAAAGGTATTATATTAGCTATAAAGTGTGATCTCGTAACAACAGAACACATTTTCTCCTACATTAAAACTAAATATATTGTAATATTACTATGACACTGTTTTCTGCACTGACAATAGACACATTTACTTACATTCTATAAGATTATTCTGCAGTGGTGTTCCTGTAAGAATTATCCTCCTCCTGGATCGGATAGAATTCATAGCCTTAGAAACAGCAGAAGCTTCATTTTTTAATATGTGCCCTTCATCACATACAACGAAGTCGGGGCCTAGAAGAAAATCAAGATGTCTAATGCAATTAATTTTGTCATGGGTAATCTCTAGGAAGATGGCTATCTACAAGAATCTGACTTTGCTCTAGTAACAGGCAATTACATGCTATTTTAAAATAAAGTTCTCTAGATTCAAGGGCATTAAATCCCATATTTTTTACTTGCAAATGAATTCGTAATAGTTGATTTTCCAAGAAACAGTGTAGTGATGAAGAGGATTAAGCAAAAAGTTTTACAGTATATTCCTATTAAAAAAGTTTCAACATACATTAGAGACACAAGATGGATGAGATAATGTGTTTTATTGAACCTGAGGAAGAGCCTGTGTAATTCAAAAGCTTGTCTCTCTCTCCAACAGAAGTTGGTCCAATAAAAGGTATTACCTCACCCACTTTGTTTCTTTAATATCCTAGGATTGACATGGCTAAAACAACACTGTAAAACACATTAGTGATGCACGTTTTTCTTGTGAAATGTCATAAGCACACATTTTAAGAGTCAGATTACACTGCCATCTATTGGTAACTTATAAGAGAACCAAAGTCCAACAGCAGTTGGACATATGAAAAACATTTTCCACTTGCAAGAGTTCTAAATTCAGTCCATCTCCTTAAATGGACAGTTTAATTTCTACTCTGACTCCTTACATTAACAATGAACAACACTGTGGTGCCTTAAAAACTAACAAAAATATGTGTAGCATCATGAGCTTTCATGGGCACAACCCACTTCTTCAGATGAGATGATCTTAAGTGGGGGAGAAAAAGGGGGACCCTAAGAATAAGAAAGGAGAGAAGAAAGAAAAAATGTTACCTGTCACACTTACCTGGATCAACCAGAGCCTTGTTAAATATTTCCTTAAGTTTTCTACTTTTCACATTCCTGCCTTGTGCAAGATTACGGTACATCTCATAGCCTATGATCATAACTCCTCCATCTTCCTGCCATCGCTGCAGCATATAGGATCTTTCTTGAGGGCGTTTTACAGTTGCTAGTTCAGAGACCTTTCAAGAGAGAAAACTGGATGTTGGACTCTGCTTTTAACCAAGACAAAACAGAAGCCTTGCAGAATACCACTTAACTTTTACATACCTAGATCATCCCTACAATATTAATACAATATCTATGGTGTACTTTGAATGGGTAAGTTTATTACAATTACTCAAACTGTTCAGCTACATAAAGGACAAAAAAAGAAGTCTTAAAAAATGAAATACCTCTAGTTTCTCATCATCTTCTAAACCTTCTTGCCATTTTTCAAACTCATTCAGCCAGTTCAAGGCAGTGTTCAGTGGACACACCACCAGAGCGGTGCTAAAATCCAATTTATCACACAACAGAACTGTATGGAGAAAACTCACCACCTGTAAGAGGAACCAAGCAAACTACTAATTAGCATGAGAATAGTTAAGTGGAAAAAATGTTTCACATTCACATCCAACTTTCCTTTCCTCTAAATAATGCATAAAGTGCATAAACACTATTCTTCCTACCCAAACAGTCTCTCTCTTTTTGGGGGAGTATTAGCTAAACAACTCACTTTTCTACTTTAAACAATCTCCTTCAGTCCTCTCATTTTCAAGTCTAACTATCTCTGGAATTGGGTGCATCTCAAATTTCCTTTGCTGGTTAACTTACAACATACCATTTATTATTCTGTGCATGAAATAGGTCCTCAAAACTTCTTCATTTATTCACTGCTTCCTAATTTTTGATATCTCCAACTAGTTGAGCCATTTCTCAAACATAAAAATCCTTTCACAATTTCATTAATTATTTTTGTAATGTTTTCAAGATTCTATTAGGTCATGTTCAAGGTTCCTTGCTTCCTCAATGAGAATAAACCAAATTCCTTATGAAGAAAGATTAGAGTTTCTTGAAACTTGGCACCAAACTTGCATTACATACTGTCCAATTTAACAATTTCTTCAATATGGTGACCAGTTCTAAACACCATATAACAGTTCATTACACATTTCACGACTGTGCTTCAAATATACAACATTCAATGGACACTGGGCAGCCCTTGGACTACGTTATGTGTCATCAATAAGGGGAGAACTAGCAGATTTGTTCTTTGCTATTAACATCTTATGCTAAAAATATTCAATCAGGAAAGGAAAGAATGCCTAAAAACATTGGTCATTGAAGCCATCAGGTGACTTTGAGTACTCATTTTCTTCTCTGCTCTTTACCTGACTTTCATCTCCTTGTTAAACTATTGCAAGTCATTGTATAAAATCTCTTAAGATCTGCCTAAATCTGTTTCTTACAATTGGAGCACAAAATAAACATCTAAAAGTTAGAGAGAAGTACTGAAAAATAATTGAAAAAATGGGGGGAAAATCAATTTCATTAGGATTATTAAGAATGCCCATAAAGACACAATGCATGTTTGTTACTGGCCTTCTTTTCAATTATAAGAAAATTACGTACATTAACTCCTTAATCATGTGAACAGTTATACGTGACAGAGAAAACAAAGTTTTCTGCTGTGAAAATATTTTGTAATGATATATAATTGTCAACTGAAAGAAGAGAGTTATCAGATATCCAACAGCACATTTGTCATATTAATACACTCCAATATTTTGCAATGTCTAGTATTAGGTACTAAAGCTTTGCTTAAAAGTTAGATTATGCCTAATTCAGAATTGGGTGCTTTCAGAAATATTAAAGTCGATTTCAGGAATTGCTATGGTTCCACATAAATCTTATGTCTTAAAACTGACAAAATAATCACGTGCACATATCCATAAATGCTGATACTCTTAGAAGCATTGTATTTTCCAAAAGGCTGCTCCTTCTAAAGACAAGTCTCTTCAAATTGGATACAAGACTATTATTTTAATATATTAAACCCTATACTGCATCCGAGTTGCCCAACTTTAATACAACTTCCCCTTCAGAAAATAAGGACTAAATCGCTACAGAATTCTGCTATAGTAACATCGCAAATGAAATCACTGACTGAACAGACAGGTATCTCAGACATATCCAGGGGATAAGCCAAGAGCCACTGAGGAAAGGAACCAATTTAAATAGCGCACACATTGAAGAAGGAATGTATCAGAGAGCACAGCCTACTTGAAAAGTAAGAGTAATATTAAATACATTCAGAATATGGGTTTTAAATCCATCACAATGCCTGGGTCTGTAAGTTTCCAAGGTGTGCCCCTCAACTTAGGTTCAAGTTGTCTACAGTGACCCTGGTGAGAACGGTGTTGGGGTTGGTCCACCACTGCAGCATGGTGACAAGTGCAGAGGGAACGGGGACAACACTGTCCAGGTAATCTGTGGCCGAGATGTAAATTGTGGACAATCACTGTTGAAGGGGCTTCATATGGAATCTTGCAAAGCCTATAACATATGTACATGCTGCCATTTGGCCCAGAAGACAGACATGTGCATGCCGTAACAAGGGGGAACTTGAGGGGGTCTGGAATTAAGTTTATCATCTGCAATCTTTCATGGTGGACAGATGCCCTTGTGTGGATGGAGTCAAGAACTGCTTTGATGAACTCTATCCTTTGGATGGTAACTAATGTCAATTTCTCTTTGTTTATCATCAGGCTGAGATGCTTGTCCATTTCCAGCTGCATCACTATGGCATTCTAAACTGGAGACCTGAAGATACAAGACATCTTGTGCTGCCTGCAGGGCCTCTGGGGTTGACAGCATTTCTAAGTGCCAGATCCCTATGCTGCCATCCAGAGTGGCTGATGCATACCTGGCAGGGCTGTCCTGCTCACCAGACACTGAACCCCTAACTCCCACTTGGAGGGGGAAGAGCTACTCTTCTTGGGTCCAGGCTCATCTCCAGCCCAAACCTTGCACTGGCAAGAGAAGGGAATGTCCTCTGCTGGGCTGCTTCTTCTTAGGAGCCAGTGTTAGAGTTGCGAGGGTGGCTTCGCCAAAAGGTCTATGCAGAGAACCCAGCCAGACGTGGTGGTGCTGTGTGCCTAGCCCAATCAGTATTGGTTTGGTTCCAGGGTCTGCGCCAACTTCATCAGCAAAGCTTTAAGCCTGATATCCTACTCTTTTTTGGTGCATGGCTTAAAGCTTTTGCAAACATGACACCTGTCACTAATATAGACCTCGAACAGCCAAGGCAGCTGGTAGGAGGAGCACTGACCAAGATAGGCTTTCTGCACACTAAACTTTAATTTAAACACCAAGAGAAAGAAAACTACTAAAACAACTATATACAGAAAAAATGTGTACGAACAAGGAAAGGCAAAGACTCTGCTAGAGTAAAGGAGCATTCTGAATACGGCACTGGTGATTAGAAGGAACCATGGGTGAGGGAAGCCTCTTATATTGTGCCAGAGCCAGTCCCCTATGGATACCAGTAAGGGAAAAACTTCTGGCACTGGTTCCTGTGGTAAGCACACACCCTAACATGAAATGGACATGAGTAAGCACTTCAGCAACATATTTTATACATGACAAATACATATTCACTCAAAATCTTTCAGAAAAGAGAATCAATCTCTACCAACATGCACTCCCTCTTTCTAGCAACCTCATCAGACCACTGGCCAGGAGAAGGGGTGGGTCTTGTACCATGCCCTGAAAGCCATTAAACTTGGCCTCTGGTTGGACCAGCTGAGATCATGCATTCCAGTGTACAAGACATGCTTCTCCAAAAGTCCTTTGCCACTTACCTGCAAAGTTTTCCCCAGACCCATGCAGTGGGCAAGAATGCATCCAGAACCTGCAGACTTCTTTGTTTTTTTCACAGATTCACAACAGCAATCCCACATGAACTGAACACCTAGAGAGAATTTTTAACAGCTCCTTTAAAAATACTAAACATTTTAAATTTACTAAAGGACTTGTCTGAAAAAAATATTCTATATAAAAATTAGTAATAAGATTAAGGCATTTCCAACACAATAAAATAAAAACCCAAGTTAGCAGAATTTCCTTTCCCAAGTAATTGTACATAAGACACCAAATCAACATATAATCCCTGCCAGAACAAGAAAAAAAAAAGTTCAGTTAACATAATTCTCTTATTTTCTTACCATCTACTTGATGTGGTTTCAGTTTGGTAACTATGTTTCTGTGAACCTGTACCATAGGTTCTTTGGTTTCTTCATCTTCATCTAAAACCAGTTTAGTTGTGATAGGACACTTTAGAGGCGAAGCATCTTCTATTTCTATCACCTGGAAACAAACAACATAATGCATCCTAGGAATGCTTTGCAAATGACTAACTCGGGCCCTTTTGAAACACACACTTCAATGAAATAGCAATGCTCCTATTTGCTCAATTCAGAAGGAAATATTTTAAGCTCTACTACCCCTCAGATCTCAGTTCAAGATTTATCTCCATAAAAAAATCATTTGAGCCACTAAACAATAGTTCCATAGTTACTGATCTCTAACCTTAAACAGAAGAGCCTTATTATGCAGCAAATTATTAGTTTAAGTGTAATTGGATGATTCATGGTTTGACTGTCCCTTTTAGGGCTATCAGATAGTACATATATTTTGTGAATGTGGCCCACATAACAGAAAGAGCTGCATACTTGGTAAATAGGTTGAGAACCACTATTTTAAGATGCCTGACTACTAATCCTTACTAGTTTTAAGGGAACAGTCATCCTATTACACATGGTTACAAAATCTATACCTTTTAAACATTACAAATTCCTTACCGTCAGCTAAATTTATTATGTCTTTCCACACTATCAGCAATTAAACTTTCAAACAGTATCTCATACAAGGCTAAAAATAAATGAGACGTACCTCTCTTAATTTTTCTCTCTCTCTTTCTCTTTCTGCAATACGTTTTCTTCTCTCTTCCTCCTCCTTCAATGCATTCTGCGTTTCTGTTCTAAGCTTATCATCTTTAAGAATCTTTCGTATTTTCTTCCGGCCTTTTCCAGGAGATTTTGAATCATTGTCATCTTCATCCTCAGAATTACTCTATTGCAATTCAAAATAATTAATCATTAGTATAAAATCTGAAATACAAGGACTAGTATAATCTTGATTTATGAACAAGTGATCAAACTTTCTGACACACAGTTCTTACCTAAACAGAAAAAAGAGTTTTCAAACTCAGTTATCAAGCAACACCTTGCGTTGACAGTTTAACACATTTGTAAAACATAGCTTACATGATTTTAAACAATGTTAAGGAGTGTTTTCAAATGACATTGCTAACAATTAAAAAAGAACTTGCTTTCTCTTCAACTACACATATCCATGCTTCTGCAACCAGCAATTTCAGTTGTGGTAACAAAAGGGAAACTTATAATACTTTCCTCCTCGTTATTTCTTTCATTACTGCTACACAATGTAGTACAGCCAGGGAAATCCTACAAGACCTGGGTTAACTCCTCTTCACTCCAGCTATTGCCACTGGTCAGGTGTATAATGACACTTCCAAGTTTGGATAAGAAATTCCACTGTACCTAAAAGCCATAGTTGTGTGCCTTCACTGAATTCCAAACTGCACCTGGTTTTAGTTTCTATGAATGGAATTTTATCTAGCCTACTCAAAGTGTTTTGTCATTTAAGAAGAGAGAGTTACTCACCTAACGGAGGTTCTTCGAAATGTGTGCCCCCATGGGTGCTCCACTCTTGGTGCTGGTGCGTCCTCACGCCAGCGACTGGAAATTTTTCTAACAGTGTCCCGCTGCACCGTGCGCAGACCCTGGCACCTCCTCATGCCATTGGTGTCCATTAGCCATGTGCACAGTGTGGCTCCTTCGGTTCCTTCTCTAGCCTTGCTAGTAGAGCATGGGGCTCCAAAGCAGGGGAAGGGGGAAGGATAGTGGAGCACCTACGGGGACAAGCATCTCAAAGAACCACCATTGCACAAGATGAGTAACTCTTTCTTCTTCGTGGATTGATATCCCCATGGTTGCTGCACTCTGGGTGACTATAAAGCAGTGGTTGAATCATGGAGGTGGGCTTGGAGCCCTGCCATTGATGATAGCACTGCATGTCCAACAGCCATAGATGAAGCAATGGACAATTCAAGTGCGTAATGCTTTGCAATTGTGTGGTCTGATTACCAAGTGGCTGCTTTGCAAATGTCCTGGAGAAAAGCGGTTGTAGAGGCCAGGGCCCTAGTCAAGTTGGCAGTGATGGTGTCTGGTGGTTCTTTGTTGTGGACGATGTAGCATGTGTGGATGCATGATGAAATCCACTTTGAAATCCTCTGAGAAGAGACAGCTTGGCCCTTGGAACGCTCAGCAAAGAATAAGAACAGTCTAGGGATATCTCCACAATTTTGTTCGATGTAGAACATGACCGTTCTGCAGATGTCGAGGGTATGCCTTGCAGCTTCGGATCGATCAGTGTGCGGCTTGGGGAAGAAAGCAGGTAACTTTGTGAGTTTGTTAATGTGGAAGGGAGAAGGGACCTTCGGGAGGAATTTAGGGTGGGGCCAAAGCGTCACACTGTCCTTACTGAAAATTGTAGGGGCGGGGGAGGGTCCATCCATTAGAGGAGTGAGCTCTCCCACCTTCCTGCTGGAGGTTATGGCGTCTTGAAAGGCAATCTTCATGGATAGCGTAGCCACGAGCAGGTTGCTAGAGGCTCAAAGGGCAGCCTTGTCAAGCTCTTCAGGACATGATGAAGATTCTAGATAGGGACTGGTGGGCAAACCGATGGGAAAGTGTTCTATAGGCTCATTGGTAGTATGATGAAAGGTCGCTACAACTGCTTCATGTACCGTAACCTTACTAAAAGAGAGGCTAGACTCCCTTAGATGCAAAATTAGGGGAACGGGGGTGATTTCAGGAAGCATGTGGTGGCTACGTATGAGCCACTTGGAGAATCTAGTCCATTTGTAAACTTAAGTTTTTCTGGTGGACTCTCTCCTACTGTTGATATGTGTTTCACTCATTCTGAACAGGTGTTCTTAGCATTTTGGAACCACGAAGGAGCCATGCGTGGAGGTAGATTTTGTGCAGTTCGGGACAGAGAATTCTGTCATGATGTTGAGTAAGAAGACTGCATTGCGGGAGCAAAAGTGTATGAATCCGTTATTGTCATTCTGCACTGGTAAGGGAACCATGTTTGTCTCAACTAAGCTGATGCGCTGAGAATCACATGGGCTTGTTCTGCTCTGATTTTGGCAATGATCTTGTAGAGCAAGGGGAGGAGTGGGAATGCGTAGAGTAAAGGCGCATCCCATTTGATGGAGAAAGCGTCTTCCAGGGAATCCTTTTATAGGGCTGCTCTGGAGCAAAAGAGATGGCATTTGCGGTTGGCTCTGGTTGTGAAGAGGTCTGTCTCTGGCTGCCCCCATTGGCAGAAAAAGTGACTGAGGGCTTGTGTGTTTATCTCCCATTCGTGATGGTCATAGAACTTGTGGCTGAGCGCGTCCACTGTGATGTTTAGTATTCCTGGGAGGTAAGTGGAAATGGAGGTTATTTGGAGGTTGTTGAACTGTAGATGATTGGTTGACGGTCTGACCACAGAGAGAATGTCTTTCCGGCTCTCAACCAAACCTTCAGATCTGCTGTTTTGATGCAGAAGGTTAGGATGTTGAGGATTGATGCTCTTATTGATGTTGGGGTCCACATCGTTGGGGCGTGTGTTCCTGACTTAAACACTTCATCTGTTTTTGCAGCAAACAGGCTGGTCTTGTTGAAGGGGGGGATCCCTGACTTTTTGCTGCAGATCCCTCGGTACTCATGATGCTTGAAGCCACAATATCCTGTGCATCACAATAGCAGAGGCTGTAACGCGGGTAGCAGTGTGGGCGATGTCCATTGTGGACTGTAATGCCATACAGGAGATCGTGTAGCCTTCCTGCATGACACTGAGAAGGACTGGCTTCTTATATTCAGGTGGAAATTGTACGAGCTCCTGCAACTTGGAATAATTGGAGTAATCGTAGTCTGCCAGCCTCGCAGTATAATTTGCTGCCTTAAAGATCAAGATGATCTTTGTCCTGTGGCAAAGACCTCATATTAGGCAGTCTCATATTGTGTCTGACCAAGTCAACCACTAGGGAATTTGGGGGAGGATGAGTAAAGAAGTCGTCCATGCCTTTTAATATAATAAAATACTTGTGGGTCAGCCCTCTTTTTAATGGGAGTTATAGGCGCCAGAGTTTGCTAGATGTTTTCGGCAGGGTCCATAATGGCCTTATTCCTGGGGAGGACAATCCTGGAAGACATGGGGAGCTGTAAGGTTCACAAGAGGCATTGTTTCTCCTGGAGCTCCTGCAGGTCCCGTTCCTGCGTTACGGCAATCCTTTAAAAAAGTTCTTGAAACTTTTTAGAATTGTCGGGTGGACACAGAGTGCTAGAGATAGCCACCTCATTCGATGAAGAAGAAGAATTGTGCAGGGGGGACCTGTCCTCCCCTTCAGAGAGGGAGTCCTCAACATCAGTTTGGATAGGCTATGGGGAATTCAGTGTTACAGCGGATGGTGAGGGTTGGGGAGAGTGGGGTGGTTCTCTGGACACTGTTGAGGGAACCATGTGGTGGCTCTTCCAATACGATTGAGAGTCCCATGGGTGCCGTTGCCTGGGATAAGGGGGAGGCGGGTAGGGGTAGTGTTGTGCATACCACACTGGTGGTGGAGGTGGCTAGGGATATGTGGCAGGACCAGACTCTCAAGGTGGACATCTCTGAATAGGGCCGGAGTGCTGGGATGAGAAGTGTCTGTGTGGTGTAAGGATGTTAAATATCGGTTAATTTACTAGTCGAGTAACTACTCAACTAGTCACTTCTGCATTCCTCCTTCAAAGTTGGAACTCCGCATGGAGCCCAGAGTCAGTGGGACTTCCTGCTGGCCCTGGGCTACATGCGACATGCCAGCTTTGAAATGTATGAGTGTCCCTAGTGGGGGGCTCTTGTGCATTACAAAGCGTAAGTGCCCGGATGGAGCCTGGGGTCAGCAGGGGACTCCAAGTCTCCAGCTGACTCCGTGCTCCATGCGACGCCACTGCTTTTAAGTGCTACGTGGAGCCGGGGTCAGCTTGGGACTCCACAGCTGATTCCAGGCTCCGGTGGGAACCTGGGATCTGGGGACTCCCCAGCTGACACTGGGCTCCGCGGAAATGCCACACAGAGCCTGGGGTCAGATGGGGAGTCCCCAGCTGAGCTTGGGCCCCATGCGGTGCTGCCACTTTGAAGTGGCGTTTCAAAGGGGCAGCGCCACACAGAGCTAGGGATCAGCGGTACAGCACTGCCCTTTTGAAATGCTGCAAAGTGGCAGAGCCGCATGGAACCCTTACAATGCTCTGATAGAGGCAGTGGGGGGGGGGGGGGAAGCGACTAGTCACATCATTGGTCGACTATCCGATAACATCCTTAGTGTGGTCCAGTGCCAGCTTCACTAGGGGAGATTGGTGTAAACGGTGATCTATGAGAGTGCACGGAGTGTATCAAGGAGCATAGAGATGGAGGTGCTGAAGAAGGATGGCTAGTCAGAGGAGACTGGTGAGACTCTTGCGTCGGTTCCAAGCTTTGATGCGTAGTGGTCGATGCCACTGGCACTGTCGATAATAGGTGCTTTAGAAAAGAGATCTCAGGGCAAGGTCTCTCGGGTGCCATGTGCGGTGCCTGCTTTGGTGCTGGTCTGTGCCTCTGAAGTGTGACTGGTCTGGCCAGTATGGTCGGTGCCAACTGCTTTTGTTTGGGCTTTGAGTGCACCCTCTGCAAGAATGCACCAGCACCCACAATGGAGCACCCACGGGGACATGACTCAAAAAAGAAAAAATAGTTACATAACACAGTTCTGGTTTTGCTTGTTTTATGTATGGTATTTGTTTATACTGTTCATATATTTTCCTATTTGGTCTGTTCAATGGCTTAAAAGAATATAAATCAAATTCTGAAGAGAAATTAAATATCTCTTAAATCAAATAATTTAAAAATAGAGGTGTTCCTGATGATAAAGTCAGTCTGATATCTGAGACCCACGCCCTTCCTTCACAGAAGTAAGTAGCTATTTCTAAGAATCAACGATTAGAAAGCCTAAAGATTATGACAGAAAAAAATGTCTTCTACTATACAATCAGGAGATTTAAAATCTGAATATTCTGTTAAAAGTTAGAAGTGGAGAAAAGGATTATTTTCAAACATACAGAATGGGAAGTGATAGTCTAAGAAGGAGTACTGCTGAAAGGGACTTAAAGGTCATAGTGTTAAACAAATTAAACATGAGTCAACAGTGTGACACTTGCAAACATGATTCTAGGATGCATTAACAGGAATATTGTGAGCAAGACACAAGAAGTCATTCTTCCGCTCTTCTTTACCCTGATTAGGCCTCAGTCGGAGTAATGTGTCCTGTTCTGGGCACCACTTTTCAAGAAAGATGTGGAGAAATTGGAGACGGTCCAGAGAAGAACAACAAAAATGATAAAAGATCTAGAAGAAGTGACCTACGAAGGAAGACTGAAAGAATTGGGCTTATTTAGTATAGAAGAGAGAAGACTGAGAGGGAACATGACAGCAGTTTTAAAGTATCTAAAAGGGTGTTACATGGAGGAAGGAGAAAAACTGTTCTCCCTTGGCCTCTGAAGATAGGACAAGAAGCAATGGGCTTAAACTGCAGCAAGGGAGATTTAGGTTGGACATTAGGAAAAACTTCCTGTCAGGGCAGTTAAGTACTGGAATAATTTGCCTAGGAGGGATTGTGGAATCTCCAACACTGGAGATATTTAAGAGCAGGTTAGACAGATACTTGTGAGGGATGATCTAGACAGTGCTTGGTCCTCTCTCGTGAGAGCAGGGGACTGGACTCAATGACCTCTCAAGATCCCTTCCAGTTCTATGATTCTGATTCAAAGTGATCTCTATAGACCAGCAAGTTGGGGATCTGCAAGTGAAATTAAATATTGGGAAGAATTTTCACTCTTTCACTGCAAATTGCACTGTTCATTGTAAGAAAATAAAATTTCTTTGAACTCTAAATGTGAGTCCTTGGAAAATACTCTGAAAAACAGAAGATTCAGGGGGTAGCTGAGTTAGCCTGTTCAGGATAAACTTTCAGGATAAAAAACAACAAATAGTCTTTAAAGTGCTACCAGACTAACAAAACATGTAGGCTGCATCTAGACTGGCAAGATTCTCAGATGCAGCTCTCTACACTGGCCGCTTGAATTTGCGCAAGAGCACTGACTTTGTAATGTACAAAATCAGTGCTTCTTGTGCAAATACTTTCATGCTCCCGCTCAGGGATAAGCCCTCTTGCGCAAGGATACCTGCGCAAGAGGGCCAGTGTAGACAGGCACCTTAATTTTTTGTGCAAGAAAGCCCGATGGCTAAAATGGCCATCGGAGCTTTCTTGCGCAAAAGCGCGTCTAGATTGGCACGGATGCTTTTGCATGTATGAATTTGAAGACTGGGCTTTATGGATTAGTTTGTAGTTATAAAAATGCCATCAGCAAATAGGAGCATTTAGACCAAACTTTTTCCACTGTGATAATTTAGATTTGAACTGAAGTCTCAAAGCAGAGCAAAGTTCAAACAAAGATTCTGGAAAGACTCCAGAAGCTGAGGTATATACTCATCTGTGTTTGAAGTTTAATCTTGTTTGGCGACTTATTCACCTACTTTTAAATTTAAAAAATGTAATTGTAGTAAAGAGAATATTTGAGTTAAACATTGTAAATGTTGCAAGACATACAATAAATGATGATTCCTTATCTGCGTGGGAAAGCAAAATCTAGTTATTATTAAGGCTACAATTTTTTCACTGAAGTCACAGAATATGTGACTTCCAGCAACCTCCATGGGTTCAGCACTCAGCAATCGGGGGCTACAATGTACCCTCATCTGGCAGCAGCGGGTACCCCACAACTCCTAGTGTCCACTGGCAGGAAGTGAACTTCAGAGTTCCCAGACACTGTGGGTGACAGGGAGACCCTAGAGTTGCCTAGCCACTGTGGGTGCTACAGGAAACACATACCCTCCCGAGTTCCCTATTGTGTCATGGATATTTTTAGAAAAAGTCACACACAGGTCACAGGATTTGGCCTTTTTCTTTATGACCCATGACTTTTATTAAAAATACTGATGACAAAATTTTAGCTTTAGTAGTCATCTGTTATTGTATTAAACAATTTCGTCAGAACATAATGCATTGCTTTATAGTACCTTGTTATTATTTTCACTAGAAGAATCCTCCTGAACCTTTATTCGTCGTCTTTTCTTTTTCTGCTTGTAACTGCGCTGATTTTCTTCTGCCTCTGCTTTCTTAGCAGATCTGAGAAATGGAAAAAAAAATGTCATAGATAAATAGGACAACACTGATGAATCAAATGTTTAATTTTTCATCTTATAAAATACTCTACTACCCAGAACAATGGTATATTTCTCTCTCTTCACCCTATAGACTCACATCATTTTACAACATGTACACCTGTCTATTTTATCAATTTTCAGTTTAGCCATTATATTCAATATGAAACATGCAAAACAATATATTCTTTTGTAATGCGGACCCCTTTACTATCTCTAGCTATTTGACAATGTTGAGTTATTGACCTTAGCAGGCAGTAATGTAGTAGGTTTACCAACTGGATCCCATAATTTCTAAAGGGAAAAAGGACCTATTGTCATTTTATGCTGAGTACTGTGCCACCTACATCAGTGTTTCTTAAACTTTTTAAGACCGAGGAACACCAAACAATATTTTCTTTTAAACGAGGAACACCAAGGATTTTTTTTTGTTTGGTTTAAAAAAAAAAAAAAAAAGTCGGGGGAGGGGAGTTTTTGAGGGGGGAAAAAAAGGGTCAGGGGAAAGTTATTGAGAAGAGGGGGGAAAAGGGTGGCCATTTTCAATTCTGTTCTCCGCGACACACCTCCAACTGCCTCGCGTTAAGAAACACTGATCTACATTGTAACTAGTTTGCACCCATGAGTTCCATAGCAACATAGAATCAACTTTAGTGGTTTATTTTCTAAATGTTTTCACACAACACAAACAATAAGGTTATATCCTAGACAACATCCAATAAAGTCACTAAAACTTAATACTTATTTAGAACCCCACTGTTCCTTAACTGCAGCAAACATCTTAGAAAAACACCAAATGTTTTAATGATCTTAACCTCTTGCTTCCCAAGTCTTCTAATTACACAGATATAAAGAGGAAATTTGAATGTTGACATGAGGGATGTTAATGTATACTTGTGTACAGTTAACCAATAAGCCTGAGCTCACCGGTTAACCTGCACGGTTACATACCATGACCCCTGCTGCTTCTGTATCAGAGGCAACAGGGGGGAGGGGAGGTGGGAGCCAGTGCGCATGGGGAGCCAGCTTCTAAGCCGGCTTCCCACCTGACAGCTCCCAGAGCTGCCTGTCCCCCACCTCACTGCCTTCCACAGAGACAGTAGTGGGGGAGGTGAGGTAGTGATGTAACAGTGTAACCGATAAGCAAAAGCTTATAGATAAATGCTATAGACTACACACATTTCCACCCCCTGCAGTAAATTTTTTTAGCAGGCTGGCCAGCAGCTCGGCTCAATTCTGGCTCAAACCGGGTCCAGAACCTACCCTTGCTGCGGCTCTGCATTTTAAGTGTCGTAGGAGCAAAGCAGATAGACAGCCCAGCTCCGTTCAGGCTCACATTGGGTCCAGGAGCTCAGACCCACCCTAGACAGAGGCTGCTGCCACCCCACACTGCTGCCTCTTTATCAGAGGAAGCAGTACTGGGTGACAGGCAGTCAGACCACAAGGGGAGCTGGTTTTCAAACCGGCTCCCCTCGTTGACCAGCTCCCGTCTGGCACCCATCACTGCTGCCTCTGATACAGTGCCCTGCCCCCGGGGACTATAGAAAAAAAATTCATGAGGTTACTCGACTGTTAAATTAACCAATATTTAACATCCCTAGGGTGAGGTGCTGCTGCTTGCATAGTGTCAGCTTCCAAGCTGGCTCCCTGCACATGTCAGCTCTCACCAAGCTGACTGCCCCCTTCCCCAGAGGGAGGGCAGACAGGAGCTGATACATGTGGACAGTTGTCTTTCAAGTCAGTTCCCCATGCATACGGATTTTTGTAGAGTCACTGCTGCCTCTGTATCAGTGCCTACACACTTGCATGTAAATGTGTAACCACTGAATAAATCAGCAGTTACACTTTTGCAAAAACAAATGTATTTTAACATGCTTAGTTGACACTCAATTCAACTTCCAAGCTTGAGGTAAACCGCAGATTCTGAAACTCTATAACTTGAATAACTAAAATTTAGTATCTGATCCCAAATCCACTGAAGTCAATGTCAGTCTCTGGTTCAAGCTCTTAGAGCACACCTGAATACTTCAGACAGGGAATGTGACTGGACTGTAACTTCTCAATAACCAAATAGGGGGAAAAAAAGCTCGCCTCAGACTAGAACTAAAATTGATTTATACCTTGTTCTAGGACGTTGCTCATCTTCAGATTCACTGACTTCTTCACTAACTCCAGATTCTTGAAATTCTGAGTCATCAGAATCATCACTGCTCACTTCAAGAATAAAAAAAAAGAATAAATGGTACTCTGTTGTAATCTGGGGCTACAAGAGCTGGCAGCTCTGGTAGTCCCCCACAGGGCCAGCAGCCCTGGCAGACCCAGAGCAGTTAACTATGTAATCAATATAATTTTTATCAGTTACACTGTTAATATTTTTATTCATTTATTACATCCCTAATGTGAAATGAAAGCAATTTTACTGCTCCAAGCCAGGGTTGATGCAACTGAGGAGGCTTAAGACCAATGGGTCCTAGAGACTGGTCTGGCCATGCCTTAGTCTGTCATTTTATTTGCTAAAATAACATCTTAAAAGTAACAACCATATCACAAGAGACACAAAAATGAGAAGCTTTATGAGGGAACACTATTAACAATGCAATATAGGATAATTCATCCTTAGATACATGGAAGATTACTGATATTACTGTAACACTAAAAATATTACTACACTTTCAAATTGTGCAACAGATAATTTGCTTTCAATGTAAATAAACCATTTTCACTCTGAAATGCCAGGGTTATTGGTGTTTGCAGTGTTGCTATAGTAGTGTTGGTCCCATTTGATCCCATGGTTATTATATGTAAGAGAGCTGTACTAACAGTCATTCCCTTGCTCCCCTCTCTAAAAAAGGGTAGAAGCGCTGCATTCTTAGCTTAAGACAACAAGAAAAATAAACCAAAGTTTAATTGAACCGTTACACTCGCAGTCCCATTTTTAATCACCTTAAAAGAGCTTAGGGGAATGTAGAGTTTAACTCTCTATGATGAAGGATATTTCTGGTGACACAAGGTCCATGTCTAGTGTGAGGAAGAGGTAGCAGTTACAGCAGAAAGAGAAAGAGAAATTGGTTTCTCCTGAATTATACCTATTTGATTTTCAGGACTGGTATTAAGATTTTATGGGGAGAGTACAGGAGAAGGGAGAGAGATTAAATAGAGTAAACTATACTGGAATATTCACTGTGTTTTAATAAACCAAGTAAATGAACAAAAACAGACAACAACAGAGTCTGGCACAACAGCACAAGAGGAGGTGCATAAAAATATATTTTAAAATTCCCAATTCAAAATTTGAGTTGTGTCCAAACTGTTCTAGTTTTAGATTGATTTAATTTAAATGGACTTCAAGAATATGGATTAAACATCATTATCTAATATATAAAGGAGAATGTTTGTATGTTTGTGCTCTATTAACTTAGGCACTATAAGACCTACCGCAACCAAACTTTCCATGGGATAACCTTTCCTCCGGAAGAAGGTTTTACGGTACTTTTGGACCCTATCGGGCCCAATTTCAACCTGTAAAAATAAAAATAACCCGCCACGCTGCGCTGCAGGAGCAGCCCCGCCCACTCTGTCACGTGCCTGCCGCCTGTGGCCCCCAGCACCATCCGGAACTTGCTCCACCCCCATGCGCACAATGGCTCAGGCACCCGCCCTGCCCCCCATGGCTACAGTTACCAGATAGTCTTTTAAAAAAAAAAATAATAATAATAATAATAATAATAATAATAATAATAATAATAAAAAACCACCACCCAGTGGAGAATTAAACCTTTGGTTTCCAGATACGTGTACCAGAGTTTGGACCAAGGACGCCGCTTTTAAGAAAAGTACCCCGATCAAAATTGAGAAACCCAGATGGTTTATAACCTAAAGTGACCCCGTAAGGGTCCTTCTGAATCCTTTGCTAGTAGAAATCAGATTCACTATGGATTGGACTCAGTTGAATGTGTCCAGAACGGAGCCGAAATATTTGCCCTACTCCCTTCCTATTTTACAAGCTTGGGTAAAGACACACCAAAGCCCCAGAGTCGAACCAAGCGAGATTTAGCAGACACTATATTGGGAGGAATTGGTGCTGGAACAAGAATTATGAATACAGTAGATCTACAGGTAATTAGAAATAAACTGAGTGCCTTGTCAAAATTACAAGACAGTTTGATACATGAGCAGGCAGATACCAATGTGGATTTAGTGAAGATATGATTAGGTAACTTTAAAGCAACACAGAATTTATGGAAATGGTTAAATACCACCAGCTGGCTGACACAAAAAACAGCTGGAATTGGGAAATAAGACTGCCTTAGCTATGGGTTGCACGGAAATGCAAATTCTCAGTTTATCATCACTTGAACATAAAATGTTCTGGGTAATATCAGGCAATGTTAAAGAACTGGAACACCTTTTAAAACGAGCCATGAAGTAGGGCTATATCACTAGGCACATGTGTCTGGGATGAACTAGAAAATGTAACCCGTGTAATGTATAAATGGACAATGTGTATGTGTTGTATTCCGGGAAATAATATTTTGGGAGGATAACAGCATTAACCAACCACCAGTAGATGAATGTAGGTGCAATGCAAGCATCTTGTACACTAAGAATCACACTTATATCTTCCTAAGCTAGAGAAAACTCAGAGCACCCTGACTGCCCCCTTTGTCAACTTCTTTATCTCTCTCGGTTTGAATTGGGGAGAGTTAGTAGATCGTTTGCTATTAGAAGCAAAAGTCACACACCGTTTTTACAAAGAACTCAGCAGAATGTGGGAAGGCAAGTTCTCCAAATAATACATGCAAATGGAGATACGATTAAAATTGCTGGTGCTGAAAAAACTTACTGCTTATCACTGGTATATTTTACAGGTTGGTCTCCCACATCTATGCTTCACCCATTGATGATTGTACTCATATTGTGTTGCATTTGCCTAATTGGAATGATATTCATGTGTTGCTGGACAAAAAGAATGTTTGTTAAATTGCAACCACTAGCTCAGATTGCCCCCCAGTATATAGCCATGAAACAATTATATAAGATATGATCCACTGAAGAATGGTTCTTGAGGCATCAAAAGGGGGATATGTTAGGACCGAAAGTTTTATTCTTTTTATATTTCTTATCTTAGGTTTAGTAATGTAAGGTAATATATATAATCATATTTAATATAGTAGTAATGTAGCAATAATATAGCAATATAAGGCATATATATTAACATACATTTAATATTTTACAAATTAAGTCCTTTCAGTTGGAGGTCTATTTTCTTTGTTCTGAAGTTTAGTAAATGTCCTAAAGTAGAAAAACAGTTCTGGGTATTGTGGCTGTGTTAATAAGATTAGAGGAATTCTGCTAATGTGCAAGGCCAAAGCCTTAATTGCTTGATTTACAATTGCAGATCTGTAATTTTGAAAGTCCTTGTAACATTGCTCATGTCTGTGAGAGGAGTGTGAATGTGTTGGGATGAGATGCAAAGTTATATCCAGATGGCCAAAGCAGGGGGTGAGTGAGTGTGGGGAAAGGCCAGAGGACGAGACAACCTGACTGCAGAGGAGCCATCTATAACCACTGATGTATATCCCCTACTCACAAGATGATTGGATAATTGGCAGATTGACGAACCATGAAGCAGAGCAGGCACCCCCAAAAGACAATTGATTACAGGATGAACCTTGGAAAATGTTTGGGAATGATTGACATCAATAAGATAACATTCTGGTCACAAGCTGACAGAGGAATCCATGGATTTCAACAAAAGAAAAGGATTATAAAAAGCAAGATGCTTTGCTATGGAACTTTGGGTTCATCTGCCATCATCTTGAGAGGAGTATCGGATCGATCGACCAACAAGGCCCTGCTGCCCCCTGTGCTCGATCTAGCCGGCGGGAAGCAGAGCTGGTTGGGGGAGATCAGGGTGGGGGGGTGGCCAATGGAAGCAGGGCTGGCCGGGGGAGATCGGGAGGAGGAGAACCGGCCAGCAGGAAGTAGGGCTGGGGGGAAACAGCCGGCAGGGAGAAGAACCGAGCCACGCCAGGTAACTCCAGCTAGTCTAATATATAAAGGAGAATGTTTGTATGCTAGTAACTTGGACACTATAAGAACTACTGCAACCAAACTTTGCATGGGATACCCTTTTATCCAGGAAAAGGTTTTAAGGTACTGTGGGAGGAAAGAGATGAGAGACTGACGCCTCTCCCTGGAGCTGCACGGGGTTTGGCAGTGTGGGGGAGAAGCGGCTTCCCGGGGGAAGCTGCAGGGACAGTCGCTCACTAAGGCCGGCGGTGGGCTCGGATGCTGGCAGCAGGCGTGCGGCTCTTCTCCCTCCCTCCCCTCAGGCTTCTCACCTCAGTTATATCAACTGTCTGCAACAGGTTGTTTTATACTTTTTTCTTTAATATATTTTAATCCCTATAGAACTCAGTGCAACTTTTCTACCAGTAAAAAAAAACGATAATGGACTACAGGCAGTCCCCGGGTTACGTACAAGATAGGGACTGTAGGTTTGTTCTTAAGTTGAATCTGTATGTAAGTCGGAACTGGCGTCCAGATTCAGCCGCTGCTGAAACTGACCGCCAGTTAGACGGGGGGGCAAAGCAGAGCCAAGCCGCGGAGCGCGTGGGCAGCGGATAACCCTGTCCGCTGCCCGCGTGTTCCACCGCTTTGCTTCCTCTCCGTGGTCTGCTGGAGACCAGGGAGAGGAAGGGCCCCGTTCGTAACTGCGGGGACTGCCTGTATAAGCAGTAATAAGAAGAGATCTTTAAAAATGTTAGGAGCATGAGGAAGACATCAGAAAGTGTTAGTCTGCTTAGTGAGGAAGAAGATCTGATGACATCAAGAAGGTCTGGGAGGTTTAATGCCTATTATGCTTCAGGTTTCATTAAAAAGATTAATGGTGACCAGATATTTAATACAATTATTCACAACACGAGGGAAGAACCCAAGACAAAATAGGAAAATAACAGATTAAAGAATATTGTGATAAATTAGGTAGATTCAAGTTAGTAGTACCTGATGAAATTCATCCTGGTTACATAAGATATTAACTGAAGCAAACTTGCAAACTTGGAACCATTAGTAATTATCTTCGAGAACCCTGGAGGCCCCAGAGGACTGAAGAAGACCTGACTTTTAAAAAGAGAATAAAGAATATGTGGGAAATTACAGATCAGTCATCCTAACTTCAATACATGGAAAGGTACCAGAACAATTTATTGAACAGTCATTTTGCAAGTGCCTAGAGGATAACAGAGTAATGAGTGCCCCTGGTCTGCTGGAGACGGTCTCCAGCAGACCAGGGGCACCGGGAGCAGCTTACGAACGGGGCTCTCTCGCCCCGGAGCTCGCAGGTAGCAATCCGCCACCTCGACCTCCGGGGCGAGAAAGCCCCGTTCGTAAGTGCGGATCCGACATAAGTCGGATCCACGTAAGTCGGGGACTGCCTGTACTGTTTTTCTAAATTTTGTTCCTCCACTTTCCCAAGCAACACCAGGTAACTCCAGCTAGTCTTTGAATAGGTTAGCTTTTGCACTTCTAATAAATCTTTCACAATTGTTTCATAGATAAAGTTTTTGAAAGACAATTTATGGACAAAAAAAATCCAATGACAACCACGCTTTTTTCCCTTATCTGTCCTCAATCTCAACTGCAAAACAAGAAACAACTAACAATGTAAAAGTGAGAGAGAAGGTAAGGGAAAGACATACCAAGGAATTCCAGGAAAACTTTTCCTCACTGTAAATCTCCATTATGCAACAAATCTGCATATCATTTAAGGAAATACAAATACATCTTGCCACACAAACATTTAAATGTTATACCTTTCCTTCTATTTTTGCGTTTGCCTTCTTTTGTGTCCTTAGATTTTCCCTTTTTTTCTTCCTCAGATTCTCCATCACTCATACTTAGCTTGTGTCTCAGCAGTCTGTGTCTGTATCTAGGCTTCTTAGATTCTTCATCATCTGAATCCGATTCAGAATTATCTTCCTTTTCATGATCCTCTGTTAGAGAGAAAAAGCAACACAGAACTCATACAGATCGCTATTTGCTCATTTGAGTTGCATTTCATCTATTAAGTAAGAAATATGTAAGCCAAGGAATACACACATGCACCTCCCCCTTTTATTTTTGCAGTGGAAATAGTTTGATCTTACAGTTATCACATGGATTAATCAACAATGGCAATTTTATTTTCCAATCATACATCTTGTATACTTGAATGTCTTCTTGTCTTTTATTAATCAAACATTGTGTAGCACATACTTGGCTCTAAACTGATTATAAAGATATGATCACAAAGTACACTTTTACAGAAGTCAAACAGAGAAACCCAAAGACTGACTAACTTCAGTTTGGCAGGTGGCATCAAAAAAATGTATGATGTTTGGGGACTGTTCACTGATTTTGCTGTTATCTTTCCCTGAAAGACTTCTGAAATTATGACAGATTCTAAAGCACCATTTTTTTCCTGCCATATTTTGGTGCTCACCGTCATCTTCTGCGTTTTCATTTTTCTTTCCAGTTTTCTTTTTTCCTTCATCTGATTCTTCATCTGAAGATGCATCCTCATCAGAGGAAAGATTGGCTTTGATTTCTTCTAAAAGCATTTTCTTGGCAATTCTTTGAAGTAAAACAAAAAATATGATGTATTCCATTGCTTACATAAGATTACATTTGTCATTCATTGATTTATGTAAATCAGAACTTCAGTAACAGCGTTGTGAGCTCAGAAAGAATTATGAATGAAGAGTAATCATGGTGGTAATGGGGGGATATTCTAAATGAAATTTCATATGTTAGACATAATAATTTACTTTTGAAGAAGTTTTTTGCAGTGCTCCCAAATAAGTACTTTCAAATTTAAACCATGTTCATTGCAGATTTTGTTCAAATGTGTTCTTTTAAACAACATCTAATAACTTAGGTCTATTTTATTCCCCTGCATTTGTCTCACCTTCAATATCCCTCATCTTTTCTAATCAACTGTGATGCAATATTAAGCTGAACAATTTTTAGTTCTATTGACCTCAAGAAAACGTAAATGTTGTGGGCCAAATCCCTAAACGATTGTTAGCAAAAACAGTGCTAAAGCAATGGTGAATCTCTGGACACTTTCCTCTATGCAATTAATGAGTGGTAAATGCAGCATTAAATCAACTCCTTAAAATTCTGAAAGTAAACAATATGCAGTAAACCACTCAATTTTTTACTCTCTCTCTCTCCAAATTTTGTTCCTAAAAAGCTCTTCCTGAGACGTGTTACAATCTTTCATGTCTGCGGATCTTGTGTTTCACAAATGATGCAGAAGGCGTAAGTGCAGTGTTTTATAGTACACCCAGGGTCTCTCAAGAAGATGGTTTAAACAGTTGAGAAAAAAAATCTACATCAGTAGAAAAATCACAAAAAGGGCCTCAAATCCCCTCAAACATCTGCCAGCATTATTTACAAGATCTTGCAAAAAAGGAAAATATAGGACGAAAATACGTACAGCAAAAAGTGATGAACAACAAATGGACAAGAAAACTGTGGGCTTTATCTGAATAAAGTTCTATAGTTCAAGGGGGGGGAGGGGGAATTGTCCCTCAGGTCCTATGGAATGCAAAACGAAAAGAATATTTTAAAATATTTCTACTGTCTCCAATGTTAACTGTAAGACTTCATGTGTTTTCCCATCAGATCCAATTATTTCAGCTGTAATGCTGAAATTGTATACATCATACATATAAAAGTGTCTATGCCTAGTCAGAAACCCAGGTCATAAGCCAAGAAACTGAACAGATCTATGCTTCATTTGAAACTGGCACAGAAACAACTGATCCTGATGAGTTATTTTTTATGTCACACAACTAAAGTCAGTAATAGTCACTTTGGATTATAAAAAAAATAAATTTATAGTTTATTTAATTTTCCAGGAAGCAATTTGTGCCTCAAAAGCAATGCAAATTTTTCAAAATCACTGTATTGTATTTTCCCAAAGTTTTTCCAATTACACTTCAGCTACGCAGTATTTTCCCTTTTAATACATGTTAATGTATTTTCAAATGAGAGTTCAAGACTAGTATATTTTGGTTATTCGTTTAAAAGTAAAGGGGGAATTTTTAAAAAAATTATCCGAGAGCATGAATGTTTGTAGTTTGTGCACCAAGACAAGCTGATTTTCAGCATCCAGAGCAGAAATATGTCTACATTAAAGAATTATTTGACACATGTATAACAAGATGAGTCATGATGTAAAGCTATTTTAAAAAATAAATTTACCTAAAAAGTTGCTTTTAATTACTTGTATCAACTGACTTCACTTTGTGGACCTGACCCAAAATTTATTGAGGTCCTACTGACAAAGTCCCATTAATTTCAATTAGCTATGTATTAGTCTGTGTAGGAGAAATAAGATGAGAATACAAATTTTAAATGTTAATCAATGTAGCATCTAGCAGATGATTTTCTGTATTAGAAAATTAAAATCTTCCCTGGTTTGTAGCGTTTATGTACTTATTTACCCAGAACAGGTGCAATTTTCTTCAGAATGCAATGGTTTGGATTCTCAAAAAAGGGGAACTTTCAAGTATTTCCTTATTTTTAATTAACTTATATATGAAAGTTACAAAATATTTTAAATTATCTAGGCAATGTGGACACCACCAGTAGGCTTGCTAACTTTTACAGAAAGAACCCACTCAACAATGGGAAAGGAATAAATTTAGAAATCCTAATTTTAAATTTAGAAGTCTCGACACACTGTCCTGTAGCAGAGCATTCAAATGATTTCACAATATCCTCAATAGTGCTAAAAGAGTTAATAAAACTTGAAATTAGATAATTCTTACCTGCATTGCAAGCCATCTTTTAAATGTGCATGTATGTGTGTTTCTAAATAAAGTGGATTTTGACACTTTCACATTTACAGAATGTTTGGTGAGAGAAATCTAAAGAATACATTCATCAGAATTTCTTCATATGCATGCACTCTCGTATGTACGCACAGAATGCTATTTCTTCTCTATTCCAGAGTGCTTCTAAAGATACCAAAGTCACTGTCCACTGTACTTTCATCATCTGAACTTCCTCAGGTTGAATCATTTTAATGATCACTAATTAATAAGCATTTTTGAAGTTAGCATATTAATAGCTACATATTTCTATGGTCCACAAGGTACTTAAAAACACTCATTTTTCAGCTCCTGAATGACAGTTCAAACACTTCACATCAAAGGAGATGCTACTATTTATTTAGCGGAAACCAGATACAAATTTTGGTCCTCTAAAACTAGATTCTCTCTAGTATGTTCCACTGAAGTGGTGCTCTAGCCTGAAAATGTAAAGCATGTTTAGAAAGTAAGACTAAGTTTTCTACTTTTAATGTAATCCAAGGATTAAATATAAAGAAACAGGTCAACAATACCAAAGAGACAATGGTGAATAGATCAAACCCTATAAATGCTTCTGATGAATGTTTGCCATAACAGTATTCACATCATCATGTGAAATTAGATGTTCAGTTCTTGAAATTAGTTTTATTAAGTTAAATTATGTCTGGTCTCAAAATAATAAAAATCCATTCCAACTTCAGGTTCAACTTCTAAATCTTTAGAAAGCAATTAAGATTCAGGATTAACAGTTACCTACACCAACAAACTTTTATCCTTTTCAGCACTTGTTTCACCATCAAACTGTCAAAGTGCCAAAACAATACAGTGTGAAAATTTCTTCTCCCAACAAACCTGTGGGGAGGGGGGCATTAATTTTCTTGGAATCAAGGATTTTTAGCCAACATGAATTATAATGAAATGCTATAAAACTTTTAAATGAAAATAAAAATAAAAGTACAAGGTCACACAATCCATTTGATAGCACACTAGACTGCAAGTGAGGAAACTTGGATGCTATTTACAGCTCTGCCATTGATCCGCTGTGTGATCTTTAGCAAGTGTTTACAGCTTTGAGCTGTTCCCCACTCCCTGTAATATCTACATAGGCAGTAACCTCTGTGCAAGGACTGTTTTTCAAACTGTGTTTGCACAGTTCTTCACAAAATGAGGCCTCTGATTTCTATCAGGGCTTCTAACCACTAATGTAATACAAAAAATACTCTATGGTGTAATTTTAAATAAGTCATGGTTTAGATAGTCTTACTCTAACAATCGTGTTCTTGAAATATTCATTTGTAAATTATATTACAATTATCAAATTATTTGTTAATTTATGCCAGAAAAAAATTTAAGTGGGTAAACTGGCAATAATTTTGGCTTCATAAACACAAGGTAGTGCTACCTTGAGGTTATTCTGTAGACATTCCAGCAATAATGGAATAGCAGATAGGTCCACATGATAAATTGTACCTTTCTTTGTTCATGAATGTTAGAGCCAAAATGACTGACTCATTTATAGCTTGTCAAAAATCTTGAGGTTATAATGTTGTCACTGTAAAATAAATTTAATTATGAATATAGGAATTTAATCATTACAATTAGCACTATTCCTAATTCAATTAAATCAACTCACAAGTCATGTCCCTCAACATATTAGTTATAGTCTATCAAATTGTTCAAATTAAGCCACTAAAGATACAAAACCATAAGGCTGTGCAAATTAGAAGGCACCATTCTTTAAAACTATTAGAAATGTAATTAAATTTAATATTTAGCACTCTGTTAATATTTATTATTTAGCTGTATGTTTTCATAGTATTATATACATATGTTTGACTGACATTTAGTACACAAAATATTTTCTTCAGATGAATAATATACCAAATACTTGTTCTAAATACTGTACTATGCCTTTGTTTCATCAATCTGATTTTCAAACTCAGTTATATTACAGTTAAATTAAATGCTTGGACAAGAAAAATGTTTTACAAAAATTTATTGCATCCATCAAATACTTAAAGGCATTCTGCATTAATACACTATTTACCTCTTAATAAACAAAACTACTGCAAACATTAACAGTACCATTTAAAAGATCGGAAGGACCAACAACAAACAAATACACAACATAAAATGACAGCATACAGCACTGCCTGTCATTATGACCCACTCAGATATTGCGCTTTGGCAAAAATCATGTCAAGATTTCTTTAAAAAAATTATTCATGCCATTCACATTCAAATGTATTCCAACAATAGAACTTCTAAGCTAGAGACTTGCAAACATGAGAGCGCCCACACTATAAAGATCTCATGGGTACTAGATACCCTCTTTGGCCTGGCAAAAATGAGGCAGCATTTTTAAAACTTTGTGATGAATAAAGAATAAACACCTTTTTATTAATCTTCTCAAAATGGGCTCCCTTTTAAAAAAAAATTGTACCAGTGAGTATAAGACCCTGTACAATGCATGTTGAATGTAGTGAGTTCAGTTATCAATTACTTCCTGAAGACTGAAAGGAATATTTGGGAACAGCCACCGCCCCCTAAATATCAGAAATATGTATTCAGAATACTTCCGAGATAAAAATTTAAACTATGTTTCAGTCTGAAAAATTACACAAACTGATTTTAAACCCTAAAAAAATTATATATAGTGTTTAAATCTAATTTGTTCAAGTTCTATTGGGGTTAAATTGAAAGACAGAAGATAATCCCCCCAGATAAAGATAAAAGATAAAATCTACCACTTAACATGTGAACTGTAAAAAGCTGAGCTTTCTATGACAAATATTTGCTTTAAACCAGCTGAATCATCAACCAGGAATCCTCAAAATGTAACAAAGTTAGAGTGAAATTAAATCATAATTTAGAACAACCCTTAATAATGTTTATATGTTGTGCTTATGGACCTATGCTGTCAGTCCAAAAAAGTGATTATTTAAAATTTAGTTTAAAATGTTTTCTTAATTTTTAAAACTAAACATACAGGAGAGCTAGATTAGCAGCAACATTTCTGTACCCAACTGAGGTCCATACAACAAAATCATGTTTTTAAAATTCACTTCAGTTATGGAACAAAAGGTAGTTACTTTGTGGAATAGACACCATGTTCTATGCTACTAAGGCTCAGAAAGGCAGAAAAGCAGACTATCAACAACAGTTGTGTTGCAAAGTTACAAAGTCGGCCTCACATTTACTATAGGACAAAAAAAAAAAAAATCAGTTTCAGAAATACTGTATAAAGGTTTTTTGGAGAAACTTTAATAGCTTCCAAAAAGAAACTCCTGCTCATAACTGAGTGTTTAGCATAGAGTCGCTTTAAATTAATACTTTGTTCATGCTATGTAGTAACTAATTAGAAAGACAAAGTCTTTGACATTTTATTTTATTATCTATCCAAACTACTTTTTGATTACTACATTATATTAGTAAAATGTAACATGCGTTTGAACAAAAAAACCCTAAAACTAAAGATACATCAATTAATTATTTTTTATAAATTTTCATTGTAAAACTAATTAATATATAGGGATAGATCCTGAAATCACTCAAACACATGCTTTACTTTATGCACGTGAGTAGTTCCCTTGATGGCAAGTAAGCCTATGTGTTAGCACTTGTAGCATCAAGACTAACCACCACAACTAATTTCAGATACTCATCAATGAATTAAACCTCAACTCAATTAGCAGTCTGGGAAATCCATGAAAAGGTTTTCTTCATATACATGTGTTCCCATACTTTTAGTTTATATTTCTAATGAGAATAAATGTTTTAATAAAAAGAAAATATTAGCACTAATAGTCATTGTATATTGCACAGATGCCAATTTTTATCATCTATTCATGTAAGTAGCTGAAATTCACATTTATCAAAGCAGGCTTTTACTTGTTTCAATGAAAAAAACTTATCACAAAACCCACATTTTACATAGGAATATAAAACAGACAGTGCTGCAATGCATTTATAACACACCCTATGCAAGGTGTGTTAGTTAACACTTCTAAATATTTTTCTTTGCTTTTCTGGATTTTGGCCTCTGTTTTCTGGCCTCTCGTTCAAACTTGAGGGAAGCCTGTGAGCGAGTCTTTACAAGGCAGGCAGTCCTGGTTTTTACAACCTGCTTGCTCTTCCGTTGCGCCGGTTTGCGCCCACGCTTAGGGTGTGTTATAATCTTTTTAAAGTCCTTATGGATGGAATCATACCTATTCTCTGGATCGTCATCCTCCTCCTCATCCTCATCTTCCTCTGGAACAGCCCCTGATTTAGTCTCTCCTTCATCTCCTGGGAATAAAGTCAGACAGATTTGACATAAGGATAAAACCAGCAATACACATGAAAGCTTTCTATTATATGTGACCTGTTGTATCAAACAATTTAAAGATAACATGGTACTAAATATCACAATGCTACCTTTAAAAAAAAATCTTGAGTAGACAAATTTTCCCCCATAAAATATCTAATAGGAAGCTCTTTGAAACAAGAGCCTAGTTAACATAGGTATCTGCTACTGTAAGTGACAAGCAAATCATTCATAGTATAAAAAAAAAGGAAGGCATAACCTGTCTAGATTTTACATCGAAATGAAGAATTGCCTACTCCATTGTTCAGGTATTTTAAAAACAAAAATTTAAGATTTTATTGTCCACTTCACATTACAGATGTAAAATCCCATTTAACAGGCTAACCAGTTAAACATATTGTTTAACTGGTTAAATGACTAAAGTTGAGTTAGCAGAGGATTTGGAACGTCCCCACAGGAAGAGGCAGCACTGGCTCGGACACCAGAGCAGCTTCTGCCTGCGATTGGCCAGGGTGTTCCACAGGCAAGGGCTACTGCAGTATCCTGGTCAGAGCAGCTCCTGCCTGCAGAGTACCCAAGTCCCACTGCAGACAGAAGCTGCTCTAACTAGGATGCAAGAGCAGCCCCTGTATACAATGGGCTTTCCCTCTCCTCCCCCCTGCAGGATTGGAACAGCCCCCTGCCTGCAGCAGGTGGGGAGCTGTTTCAGCCTCACCCGTTAACCGGTTTAAACTGTCACATCTCTACTTCACAACTGGATTCTCATCACCAAATTAACATATAATGAAAAGATGATGGGAAACAGCCCTAACAAATTCATAGCCATGAAAAACATGTGATGGACCATGAAATCTGGTATATTGTGGGTTTTTATCCTATATTATAGAGATTTCACATGAGAGATCAGCATCTCTCATATCTGGGGTCCTGATGCAAAAGTTTCAGGAGGGTCAAGGGTTATGTTGGGGGGTGGGGAGGGTTATACTATCAGTGCTACCCTTACTTCTGTGCTGCTACTGATGGCTGTGCTTCCTTTGGAGCTGGAGCTGGGCACCCAGAGACTGGCAGCTGTTGGCCAGGCATCCAAATCTGAATGCAGCGCCCCATCATCAATTGGGCATCAGTACAGATTGCAATACCATACCACATCACTCTTACTTCTACACTGCTGCCTTCAGAGCAGGTGACCAGAAAGTGGCAGCCGCTGACTGAGGGCCCAGCCCTGCAACAGCAGCACAGGAATAAGGAGGCAATACAGCCGGGCCCTGACTTACGAACGAGTTACATACCAAACACCAGGTCATAACTCCATCTGTTCATAAGTTCGATTACATTCACTTACATACAGCCGCGCTATTTGTAAGTAAGGACTTCGTTCATAACTCGGAGACCGGCTGTATAGGAGGTTGGTTGTAAATACGAACGGCCATAAGTTGATGCGTTTGTAACTCAGGGACCGGCTGTACCATACCATGCCACTCTTCTATGTTGCTGTTGGTGGTGGCTCTGCCTTCGGAGATAGGCTCCCAGCCAACAGCTGCTATTCTCCAGCAACCCAGCTCTGAAAACAATAGTGCTATCACAGGTCATAACTCCATCTGTTCATAAGTTCGATTACATTCACTTACATACAGCCGCGCTATTTGTAAGTAAGGACTTCGTTCATAACTCGGAGACCGGCTGTATAGGAGGTTGGTTGTAAATACGAACGGCCATAAGTTGATGCGTTTGTAACTCAGGGACCGGCTGTACCATACCATGCCACTCTTCTATGTTGCTGTTGGTGGTGGCTCTGCCTTCGGAGATAGGCTCCCAGCCAACAGCTGCTATTCTCCAGCAACCCAGCTCTGAAAACAATAGTGCTATCACCAGGAGCACAGAATTAAGGTTAGCAGTACTGCAACTCTCCTACAATAACTTTATGACACCTCTCCCACAACTTCTTTCTGAGTCAGGATCCCTACAGTTAACACCACCATGACATTTCAGATTTAAATTGTAAGTAAGGACTTCGTTCATAACTCGGAGACCGGCTGTATAGGAGGTTGGTTGTAAATACGAACGGCCATAAGTTGATGCGTTTGTAACTCAGGGACCGGCTGTACCATACCATGCCACTCTTCTATGTTGCTGTTGGTGGTGGCTCTGCCTTCGGAGATAGGCTCCCAGCCAACAGCTGCTATTCTCCAGCAACCCAGCTCTGAAAACAATAGTGCTATCACCAGGAGCACAGAATTAAGGTTAGCAGTACTGCAACTCTCCTACAATAACTTTATGACACCTCTCCCACAACTTCTTTCTGAGTCAGGATCCCTACAGTTAACACCACCATGACATTTCAGATTTAAATAAAATCCTACATCTATGACATTGACCAAAACAAACCATGAATTTGGTAGAGACCTGCAAATAAGCAACAACGCAACAGCACTATTAACTTCCCAAGTATACAGCAGCTTACTTACTCATAACTGAGCTGCCTAGTCTT